ATATTTTCATCCAGGAACTTCCGGAGAGCTTCAAGCTCAACCAGAGAAAGGGAATCTATGGTGCCTAGGGGTGGAGCAGTACCTTCCTCTAAGTTGATCTTTAGGTTGTAAGGTGTATGAGGAGGAAGTTGGCTGGCTTTTCCCTTGTCAAAGACATCCGCATATTCATGATACTCGGAGGGATTGCAGATAGATCCAGAGCATCGGATGAAGTGGATATGGAACGGATCTTGGCACCAGAAGGACGTAGGAAGATGCTGAACTGCTTGGAGCCTTCTAACTTGCAGGCCCAGCAAAAGGCAACTGCATTGATTAGAGAAATGTTAGGCTCAGAGGTATCAGCGGAGGTGTCTGGAGTAGTCGGAGGGGTAGTTTCCACTGGAGGTGGCGGAGGCGATATTGGAGGGGTCAATGGCATTCCATGAGATGAAGTCTGGAACTCGATGCTGTGCAAAACCCAGTCAGTCAACAGATTGTGTCAGTTCAGCCAGCTATATCCAAGGATGATAAGACAGGATGAATCCAAAGGAGTTACATAGAACATATTGGAGGTGACTACACCAGACGAGAAATGGATGGGCAGATCTATAGCTTCGGAAATGGTTGCATTACAAGTACCATCAAACAAACAGAGCGGAATCGGAGGAATTGCATAGGTAGGTAGATTATATTTATGGATGAAGTCGGATTCTATGAAGCAACGGGAGGAACCACAATCTACAAGAGCTGGAAAGTCGGAAATATCAGAATATGTAGGGATGGAAACATATGGACAGAGAGAGTTCGGATTGGACAAGGAAACAGCGTTGAGTTGTAGCTCTGTTGCACAGGTTGAGTCAATGCAACCCTCATCCCATGCGGAGTCAGGAGGGTTGCGGATTATTTTTTCACCTCATCTGAGGCATCCAGTTTGGTTTCCGGATTGACTGTAGCTGCACGACCTTTGGTAGCACATGAAGTTGATCTTGTGCAGTCCCAAGCAGTATGCCCAGGTCCACCACAGAACAGACAGAGCTTCCTGTCCAGCCTTCTCTGATGTTCTTTGGATGTAAGCTTTCCGTCCTTACCCAATTTGTTGTTGAGGTCCAGAGCTTTAGAAGTGGAGGTAGTGGACAAAGTCGTCTTTCTGGATTTGTTGTTTCCGGAGGAAGTGCTTCCAGATCCAGACGCATTGGCATTGGTCTGTTCAGAAGATTTGGCAGGAGGATTGGGTGCAGAGGATTTGGTTTTGTAGGAGATCTCCCCCTTGTGTTCCCAATAGCAGGCATCAATGGTGTCATATCTGCATATCCGGATCTCAGATCCGACCCTTATCTCAGATCCACATCTTATCTCCAATGCTATCCACATCTTATTCCCCTCCAACATCTCATCATTCAATCTGTCCACTCGTCCGGTCCATTCCACAACTCATCCAAATCCACAACCAGCGCTCGTCTCCTTTCGGTAACCCCCTAACTCCAGTATTTCGATTATCTGTATATCCGTCCTGCTCCCTTATCCGCTACCTATGTTTCATTTCCGTTTCATGATTTGTGATCCGTTTCTACTTACCAATAGACTATCCACATGCTTTGTACATAGCCTTGGACTCTGCTGATTGATCATTCCGTTAGATACCTATAGTATATAACCTCCTGTAACTTTCTGTAGTACTGGCAGTTCAAATATCATCTTAGTTCTGCTCATTCCTGTCCTCTGGACTTGAGTACCTCTACTCTCGTCACCCTCTGAGACTTAGGATTGATTCCTATAGTCTATCCGTATCTGCCTCTGTCCCCGACAGTCCACTACCATTAGTTTCTAGTCTGGACTCGTCTGATTAGCCACACGATACTTATTCCTCATCTGGAAGTCATCCGGATCCATTACGCTACTCATCCGACCTTCTGGACGCGCTAGGCTTGCCTTCCTGAAATAAGGGGCAATACTCGGGTAAGGGGCACAGTGCATGAGCTGAGGCTGAAGCCCTTCAGATCCAGTTACCCTTTGAGTATGACCTTAACAAATGGTCTGTGCAAGGGTTTTGTATTCCAAGAGTGTGCCAGGTTTTCCCATGTGACTGATTTCATCCTTGATATGAGCAGGAAGTCCATTATAGAATTGTCGGCGTAGGGCTCCGTCACCCCATCCATGGACCTGTGAGGCAAGCCGTTGGAATTCTACAATGTACTTGTTGATGCGCTGTCCATCGCACATATTGAGTTGCTCAAGCTGCATTTCCACATCTCCAGAAGGGTCGTGAGGTCCAAAATTGGTCTGGAGTTCAAGCATGAATTTGGAATAGTCATCCATCCAGTCCTGGACAATCAGTTTGTTCATTAGAAAGGAGGTTGGGTTCAAACCATTCAAGGGCCATTCCTTTGAGATAGGATTGGGCGAAATTGACTCTAGACCTTCCGGTACAGAAAGCATTGGGTTTGCTCTGGAAGTTGAGCTCGCACTGGACAAAGAATGCACGAAGTTTCCAGTGGCTCGGTCCATCAAAGACATCCAGCTCCCAGACCTTGACTTTAGGATCTTCAGGGAGGGTGGTGCAACAATTGTTTCAGGCAAGATTATTGATAGCTCTGGATAGGAGTACCATAATGCAATCCTGTGGACCCAGGCCATTGTCTCTATCATCATTGTCTTCATCATCTGGATCATCATCCAGATTCCCACCATTACCATCCAGCGGGTTTCCACCAGGGGTATCATGATCAATGTCATTGTCATCCAGATCCCTTTGGCCCAGAGGGGCTAGGGCTGGAGTCCATGTAGGGGTCTCCGGATGTTGACAACTCAGAAGCTCCAAGATGCTTCTGGCAGTAGCATGCTGGCTAACATGACACTGTGAGAAGCTATTGAAGGTGTTGACGATAGGAGTAGAATCATGGCAGGTGGATACTAATCCGGCCACTCGGAGAGTGTTTGCAGTTTTGGTTGGAGCCATAGGAAGTGTAAGTATACTCAGTAAGGTGTGAGTTCAAATATACTGTTAAGGTCGTACTCAAGGGATAACTGAATCTGAAGGGCTTCGGCCTCAGCTCGTGCACTGTGCCCCTTACCTGAGTATTGCCCCTTATTTCAGGAAGGCAAGACTAATGCATCCGGAAGGTCGGATGAGTAGCGTAACGGATCTGGACAACTTCTGGATGAGGGATAAGTATTATAGGGCTAATCTGGATGAGTCCAGACTAGAAACTAACAGTAATGGACTGTCGGAGACAGAGGCAGATACGGATAGACTATAGGAATCAATCCTAAGTCTCGGAGGGTGACAAGAGTAGAGGTACTCAAGTCCAGAGGACAGGAATGAGTAGAACTAAGATGATATTCGAACTGAGGTACTACAGAAAGTTACAGGAGGTTATATACTATAGGTATCTAATGGAATGATCAATCAGCAGAGTCCAAGGCTATGTACAAAGCATGTGGATAGTCTATTGGTAAGTAGAAATGGATCACAAATCATGAACATGAAATGAAACATAGGTAGTGGATAAGGGAGCAGGACAGATATACAGATAACTGAAATACCAGAGTTAGGGGGTTACTGAAAGGAGACAAGCGCTGGTTGTGGATTTGGATGAGTTGTGGACCTGGACTGGACGAGTGGAACAGATTGAATGATGAGATGTTGGAGGGAGATAAGATGTGGATAGGGTTGGAGATAAGATGTGGATCTGAGATGAGATAAGGGTCGGATCTGAGATCCAGATATGCGGATATGACATAACTACTATCTTGCACTACTCTACATCTCAGCCAATGAATTTTTTGGGGGCTATTTGGATGGTCCAGTTCAGGGTTTGGACCCTGATGAACTGGAACTGGACCATTATTGGACTGAACCAATGGTCCAGTCCATGGTTCTAAGGCCAAACATAACAATATGATTGTCAATAGCAGAATTATGCTGGTTCTTGTGGTTATGTATTATATATCATGATATATGGCCTTCTACTTTCCTCACAGTTCACTGATGGTTCTCACTGGGCTTCAGTGCTCAGCTTCAGTGCCCTCAAGAAAATCCACAAAAGTGATTGAGACACTGAACTTCCTAGATGTCACAGCCTCACATGAATATTGTGAGCAGCTTGCAGTTTGGTGGACACATGGTGACCACAGTACTTGCTGGATGCTGAGCAAGTACAAAGATTTCCACAATGGGTGAAGAGGGCTGAGTTATTAAGATATATTTGAAGGAAATTAACATACACTATGACAAGTAGACCAGAACATGCAATATAGAGAAACACAGTCCATTGGATACTGAAAAAATATTCAGTACTTGCAGCACTGGCCAAGTGAACACTGAAAAATCAATTCAGTTAGTCAGTGTCACAAGTACTGATGGACGTGACCCTCACGTGAACGCTGCGGGTTCTTTTTTCAGTGGACTACGTCACTTTCAGGGTATTTACTTCCCACAGTGTTTTAGGCCTTTGAGAGACTATAGGTCGCGAGATCCTTCGAGGCGTGGCACTTGAATTGGATGATGAACTGAGCTGGCTAAATGAATTACAAGCGAGTGTGTCCGTCGGAATGGTTGCCTTACTCTGAGTGTATGTATGGTGCAATGTAGTATGACCGTCGGAGTGCTCTCCAGAGCCCAACGGCTTCTCTTGATGGCATGGTCATATGATATCCATGACCGCCGCATGCCAGCATGACGTTGTATCTGGATACAGGTGGCACATCGATTGGCAGGGTGGTGTTGTGGGCAGATGGCAGAACCTCCTGGGCGGAATGTGGCGGCAGAACTCAAATGGTCACGGACTACAATGCACTGGCAAGGACTTGGACTACCTCAGAGTAGTGGGCTCGCATCAATGTAGCACACAGTCAAAAAATTTCGTCAATTCTGTCACTTGCCACGCTGGCAGAACATATGTGGTTCTTCCAAGTTTTGCCGGCGGAACTGCTCCAAAACAGTTCTACCCACAACACCACCCGAGGGGCACAGTGCTTAAAAAGTCATTCTTCACTTCAAGGTGACTGTGCCGTAACTTACGATGAGTCCCCTCCAATCCTTCTTTGCGCTCATTCCACTAGAACTACCTAGTCTGCGCATCCCTGACAACACGCAGCTCATCCTCAGTGCTGTGGCTTGTCTTGGTGTGGTAAGAGTAATTTTCTGGGCTTACAGCCCTAACTCAAAGAGTGGCCTTCCTCTTCCGCCTTCCCCTCCCACTTGGAGACTTCAAGGGCACCTCCTGCCTCTTCACAAGTAAAGTGTCCTATTTGACTCATCGAGTTTTGAATGCTGATTGCGTCCTATCTCCGACAAGACCATTCCTCACCATAGCAGGATGGATTGACGAATACGGTCCTCTGATTACTATTCGATCAAGATTTGAGCGGATTGTTATTATCGGCCGTTACAAAGTCAGTCCTTACACGCTGCGTTATCATATCCTAGCCCAACAACATTCCGTTGCAGGCCGCTGTGGAAATTATGGAGAATCAAGGCAAATTTCTAGCTGATCGTCCTCCCATGATTGCTGCTGGAGAAATGTTTAGCGGCGGAATGAGCATTGCCTTTATACCTTTCGTGGACCGGTTCCGTCGCATGCGTAGGTTAGTAAGCTGCGATACATCCCCTCATCTACTTGCCTTTCAATGTGATACAGAGCTCTTCATTCTCATCTCCAACCTAAAGCAGCTGAGGCCTATCAACCACTGCAGATGTCACACGCGAAGAACGTAGTTCTTGGCGTTCTTGATAATCCACACAACGTCCGGCACCATGTGGTAACGTAAGCACTGTCAACCATGACGGTATCAGTACTTTACTCACGAGTGCTTTGAAGTTATGCTGCGACAACAATTATGAAAATTGCATTTGGGAAGAATACGCCCACGTCTGCGACTGATTCCGAAGTCATTGAGATGCATCAAATGGTCGGGATGGTCGGTAGAATCTTGCGCCCTGGTGCTTACTTGGTGGACTCGATTCCATGGCTTAGATACCTTCCTTGGTATGGCCGAGACTTGAAACTATGGTTTGAGAGGGCGAAGAAGCTCAATCTTGGCTTGCTAAACCGTGTGAGGGAGCAAATGGTATGCATCTCCTTTTGAATCTTGACTTCATGCCTGAGCCGTTCCACAGCAGAGCAATGAGGATATCGGCCCTTCGTTCGCGAAATATATGCTAGAAAATAGTCAATCCTATGGTTTGGCCGAGACCGAGGTGGCCTTTCTTGGTGGTGCCTTTTTTGGAGCTGGATCAGATACGGTGAGGTGTTATTTTGTTGCCTCTGAAGCCATGTGACTAAAATCAGAGGCAAAAGACTTCTGCCTCGATATTTACGGTGCTCATGGCAGCCGCATATTTTCCCGAGGAGCAAGCTAAAGTTCAGGCCGAGCTCGACGCGGTCACCGGAAGGCACCGAGGTAGCTAGATTGATTTCTGTATTGCAGTGCCATGGATTCAATATTTTCCGCACTAAAGTGCCGACCTTTGCAGACCAAGGGTCCCTTCCTCGCCTGCAAGCATTCATCTCCGAGGCTTTGAGATGGCGACCTGTAGCTTCTACCGGTGGGTATCTCCTTTTTCATTTTGTACCTAGGTGTCACAACATTCACACTGCAGGATTGGCTCACCGAACAACCAAAGAGGTGATTTGGGCAAGTGATCTTTGAACAGCCACTTGCACAAATGATGATTTGGTCCAATCAGGAAAACTATTGCATTCCAGCTGGGACTACGGTGTTCGGCAACCATTGGTAAGCATCATGCTTCAAGAAATGAAGGATCTAATGGTCACCGCCCAGGTCTATCTCTCGGGATCCAGATGTCTACCCGGAGCCTTATGCGTTCAAGCCTCAACGCTGGATTAACGAGCAAGGTGGCTTGAGAGACGATTTGAAATTCTTTATCTACGGCTTTGGTCGACGGTTAGCACCATCCCTCAGCCACCCGTTTTTTGAATGACATTCCTTTCAGCGTATGCCCCGGTCAACATGTCGCGAATAGGTAAAGTTATTTTGCACGCACACGGTCTTCCGAACTCATTCCGATTGGTACAGATCAGTGTTCATAACCGCCCTCCTTATTATATGGGCGTACAAGCTTACTCTGGATCCTACGAAGCCATTAGAGAGCATGGGGTTCATGGCCGGCTCGGTGCCAGATGTCCTGCCATGCACATTAGAGTTTGAGAAGAGGATTCCGGAAACGGAGCTCAGGAACATGATGCAGCATTATCCTGAGGTCGTGTGAGAAGCTCTGATGCTCATATAAGGAACGTCACTGCGCTGGCTACGGAATTCCCTTCGACACGGTTCGAAGTACTACTCCGCTGACTACTTGTATGCCAGTCACTTAGATATAACCTCTTCTCACCTTCTGTATCTTCAGTGAATTCACTCCCCCTTACTCATCACTCATCACTCGTGATCCATCAATCCCCGTCGAACTCTTTAGCAGCATTACACCTAGACAGGTTAGGGAGAGAACGAAGAACAAGTTCTCAACGAATTCTCCCAGACTTGCAGTATGTTTCCCGAGCCGATTCTGAATTGTGCATTATATAGTTTCTACCTTGAGGTCCCCATTCTATCATGTCTTCCCTCATCAAATACAGCTTGCGATAAAATACCACCATGGAGTCCATGTCCAATGGCTATGATATTAATATTACCATCCACTCACGAACACAGATGTCCCAGTAAACACCTCATGTTCAAGTGTTAATCGAAGGCACGATACAATCCCTAACGAAAGCACACCGGTGCCACCCATACTCAGACCTCTACTTTGTTCTTTCAGTCTGAAGATTTTTTATTCACCACCTGGTGATCTTTTCTGCCAGTGCTGAGTAAGTGCACGATGCGGAAGAAACGTGTCGAGAAACTCAAAGTTGCAGGTGCTCGGATAATCGTGGTTCAACCAGCTGTGTTGATCAGTGACAGTGGGACTGCCCAATATCAAGGAAACGCGCTTGCTGGACCATCAAGTATCACCGTTCGATTTGACTGTGAGCATCATCTCGATTAGCTATGCGGAGATTACCAGTGTCAATCGATGTGGAGAAATTTACAGAGGTACGGGCTTTGACTGATTCCGGTTCTATATCATTCAATTGTAAAACTCTAGGCTCGAGCGTATGAGATCGATGTCCTTTGACTTTGATAGTTTGACGTCGTTGAGTAATCCTTTCGTTGACATTAGAATTTTGGTGACTTCCCGCCAGTCGCGATACATCATGTATGGTTCATCGAACTTCACTTGGAAAAAGAAAGAGGATCTGCGCGAGTGGTAGACCCAGATGATGTGCGTACAGACTACGAATCCTTCGAATGGTTCGCCATTCCATTTCCCAGTTTTCGCGGTATCGTCGGTAAAGGATTTTACTTCTGGAATTGCGTTCAGGGTGATGGCAGGCGCCTTAATAGATCCCCATTCCTCTGGGAATGCGTCAACCGTTTCTGTAGGCATGGTATGAAATTCTCTCGAAGTCTTGTTTATTCCGTGGAGGTGTAGACCTGACTTCTCGACAGGATAAGGGAGCACATGCTCATCAAAGCTGTGGGGTAGCAGTTGATTCTAGAACTTTTGCCTACATTGTATGACTTGCACACCTCGGCGATTGCTGTCCAGTTCTTCTCCCATAATCTCGATGTCAGCTGTTCCTGCCAAGTGCTTATTGAGCCACCGACAGCCGACTTCGGAATGAGTTTCTGAGACCCCTTGCATCGATCCCAGTGCACTGCTTGGACGTGACGATCAGCTTCGGAGGAGAAATGGGGGCGACAAATATGATACACCCTTTAGATTTTAATGACAGCGTATACGTGGGTCCTGTAGGAGAGTATTGACCACCGCGCACGAATCCCCATGAGGCGATATCAGGCAGTTTGACATGAAAACAACTTACATCGGTGCACGGGACCTCCCCAATGTTGAAGAACTTATCATATCCTCGAGCTACAATTTGGCACTCTTGCTCTCCCCTGGAGTCATCTCCACATGGAATTTCATGGCTGAACAAACCTCTCGCTAGCATCGGAAAAGGCGATGGAGTGTCATATTACTTGAACTCGTTCATCTTCCAGCTTCGAACAGAGACGGAGGGACCTGACGGCGTGCTGTACACTGCTGATCGTACTAGCTTGGGCAATTTCTTTGAGTCGGTGCAGATCATTGATGAGCTGATAATCCTCCAGATGCAAGTGAGCTGACATGTTAGATATATACCTGCAAGATGCAGGTGATAATGGACAGGGACTAGGGGGCTGCGTTCAGTATCTAAGAAAGGAGATGTTGTGCAGAATGATTCAGAATTTTGAATACGAGTCACCTAGTATACGGTGCCTTGAGTTTGAGTCAAAGTTGAGTCGGATTTTGAATTGAGACTGGTAGTAAGTATTAGCAGCAACTTCCGATCGGTGATAGCTTTCAAAGCGATCCCAACACAGACAAACAATTTTATGCGAGTAAGTGCCAAAACTTATTTTGCCTAGTATACACCTCTTCCGCCAGTCCGTACTTCCACAACTGAGACACGAGCGATGGATTTAACGTTTCGATACAACCTTTGGCATGTACCCCACATTACTGCACGAGGCGATACTATATCACTACTCAGATGTTGTACTGTAGACTTGTCCTATCCTCAGCTTCTAGTGCATGCAATATCCATTTCATTAAACTGCGGTGTCGTCGATTTATTTGGAGCAATATCATCCGATTCAAGCTGACTGTTGCCCATAGTCAGGTTGTTGCCCCTCTGCGTTGGCAATCTTCCTACATAGGCAATGCGGATTGATCAAGCGGCAATACTAACTGGATAATAATACCAGCCAACAAGTCGGACACAGTGGAATCTATTGAATTCAAATTGTACTATCAGATCTAGATTACATCTCCACGAGTCTGTACCTTGGAGTTCTGCCACTATCCCTTCGCGTGAGTTCCGCTGTGGGCCAGGCACAACCAGTTTTACCAGACCGGCGGGCAAAACTCCCCGAGTTCTGCCAACAACAGTAAGCGGTGGTCGGAATCTCGAGGTTGACACGTTTCAGACATGAGCACATGGTGTGGATCTGTCCTGTGGTGTGTCAAACGTTGGCGTCGATGCTAAAATGTTTGTCCTCAATTGGTGGGTGGATCTACGCTGGTGTCGTGGTGACTCATGCATTTAATTACATTGGATGGTACGGATACGACGTCAAAAATCGCTAATATTAATGCTTGACGAATTCTTTGACGATAGGATGAACTATGCTAGCCAAATGAATTGCAAATGAGTCCCCATACACGTGTCCGCAGGAATGGTTGCTTGAGTGGAAGTATTGCGTAATGTGGTACATATGACCGTCGGAGTGCTCACCATAACCTGGTCATATGAAATCCGTAGCCGTCGCATGCCAGCATAACTTCGTATCTGGGTACAGGTGACACGTCGGTTGGCAGGGGGGGTGTCTGAAAATTCACTCTTCACTTGAATGTACCGCAACTTACGATGGGTTCCTTCCAATCCTTCTTTGCGCTCATTCCACTAGAACTACCTAGTCTGCGCATCCCTGACAACACGCAACTCGTCCTCAGTGCTGCAGCTTGTCTTGCTGCAGTGAGAGTAATTTTCTGGGCTTGCAGTCCTAACTCAAAGAGTGGCCTTCCTCTTCCGCCTTCCCCTCCTACTTGGAGACTTCAAGGGCACCTCCTGCCTCTTCACAAGTAAAGTGTCCAATTTGACTCATCGAGTTTTGAATGCTGATTGTGTCCTATCTCCGACAAGACCATTCCTCACTATTGCCGGATGGATTGACGAATACGGTCCTTTGATTACTCTTCGATTAAAATTCGAGCGGGTCGTTATTATCGGTCGTTACAAAGTCAGTCCTTACATACTGCGTTATCATATCCCGGCCCAACAACATTCCGTTGCAGGCCGCTGTGGAAATTATGGAGAATCAAGGCAAATTTCTAGCTGATCGTCCTCCCATGATTGCTGCTGGAGAAATGCTTAGCGGCGGAATGAGCGTCGGCTTTGCACCCTTTGGGGACCGGTTTCGTCGCATGCGTAGGTTAGTAAGCTGCGATACATCCCCTCATCTACTTGCCTTTCAATGTGATACAGAGCTCTTCATTCTCATCTCCAACCTAAGGCAGCTGAGGCCTATCAACCACTGCAGACGTCACACGCGAAGAACGTAGTTCTTGGCGTTCTTGATAATCCACACAACTTCCGGCACCATGTGGTAACGTAAGCACTGTCAACCATGACGGTATCAGGTACTTTGCTTACGGGTACTTTGAAGTTATGCTGCAACGATAATTTTGAAAGTTACATATGGGAAGAATACGCCCACGTCTGCGACTGATTCCGAAGTCATCGAGGCACTTCAAATGATGAAAAGGTTTATTGAAGTCCTGCGCCCTGGTGTTTACCTGGTGGACTCGATCCCGTGGCTCAAACACCTCCCTTGGTATGGCCGAGACTTGAAACTGGGGTTTGAGATGAGGAAGAAATTCAACCTTGGTCAGTTAAACCGCGTGAGGGAGCAAATGGTATGCATTTCCTTTCAAATCTTGACTTCGTGTCTGAGTCGTTCCACAGCAGAGCGACGTGGATATCGGCCCTTCGTTCATGAAAGATATGCTAGAAAATAGCCAGTCCCATGGTCTGACCGAGACCGAGGTGGCCTTTCTTGGTGGTGCCTTTCTTGGAGCTGGATTAGATACAGTGAGGTGTTATTTTGTTGCCTCCGAAGATATGCGACTAAATTCAGAGGCGACAGACTTCTATCTCGATGTGCGCGGTCCTCATGGTAGCCGCATGTTTTCCCGAGGAGCAAGCTAAAGTTCAGGTCGAGCTTGACGTGGTCATCGGAAGGCACCGAGGTAGCTAGATTGATTTCTGTATCGCAGTGCCATGGATTCAATAATTTTCGCACTCAAGCGCCGACCTTTGCAGACCAAGGGTCCCTTCCTCGCCTGCAAGCATTCATTTCTGAGGCTTTGAGATGGCGACCTGTGGCTTCTGCCGGTGGGCATCTCTGTTTTCATTTTGTGCCTAGATGTCACAACATTCGCTGTGCAGGAGCATCTCACCGAACAACCAAAGAGGTGATTTGGGCAAGTGATCTTTGAACAGCCACTTGCACAAATGATGATTTGGTCCAATCAGGAAAACTATTGCATTCCAGCTGGGACTACGGTAATCGGCAACCATTGGTAAGCATCATGCTTCAAGAAATGAAGGATCTAATGGTCACCGCCCAGGTCTATCTCTCGGGATCCAGATGTCTACCCGGAGCCTTATGCGTTCAAGCCTCAACGCTGGATTGACGACAAAGGTGGCTTGAGAGACGATTTGAAATTCTTTGTCTACGGCTTTGGTCGGCGGTTAGTACTGTCCCTCAGCCACCCGTTTTTTGAATGACATTTCTTCCAGCGTATGCCCCGGTCAACATCTCGCAAACAGGTAAAGTTATTTTGCACGCACACGGTCTTCCGAACTCATTCTGATTGGTACAGATCAGTGTTTATAATCACCCTCCTTATTCTTTGGGCCTACAAAGTCACACTGGATCCTACGAAGCCATTAGAGAACATGGGGTTCATGGCTGGCTCGATGCCAAATGTCCTGCCATGCACATTAGAGTTTGAGAAGAGGATTCCGGAGACGGAGCTCAGGAACATGATGCAGCATTATCCTGAGGTCGTGTGAGAAGCTTTGATGCCTCAACGGGTTAGGGAGAGAACGAAGAACAAGCTCCCAATGAATCCTCCCGGACTTGTAGTATGTTTCAATTTTGCCTAAGCCGACTCTGAATTGTGCATTATGTAGGTTATTGTCAGCTGTGTACATTGTTATACTAGGATTCGAGCTACGTTTCAACTGCTCCGCTGTGTACGTCGAAGGCAATACTCAGGAGATCTTCCGCGAGAGTTCCATATGGTACAGTAGTGTTGGTATCCGTCTCACCATCATTTGACAGTTTTATCTACGTCTTCCATCTGGACACAACAACTGCGTTGCTACCACTCGCCACGCCGAAGGGTCCGGAATGAAGAACATGATGAATTGTCTCTTTTCTCGCTCCACCACATCCCAGGGCCATACTCCTCGCTCACGCAGGATTCCCCTTGTGGAGGTCTTTGCGACGCGAGGCAAATATGTAAGTTTTACTAACATTTCGATATCCATATTGTGATGCTGATATTGTCTCGTAGCGCACTACTGATGCCCACAGTTGAAACAAGCATAGGTTGGAGCAGCCACTACATCCCCCTTGCCACACGCCACCAGCAGAGACATCCAATATGACTGACGGAGCAGCCCCAGCAACTTTTGCAAACTAAAAGTACCAGTAACAGACTCCCTTCCCCGTTGGACGTTGAACATATCCCAGACATCAGCTGCTTTGCAATTCTCACAAGGTGGTTCCTGTGTCTTTCACGCATTCGACAAACAAGCTCATCTTCTTCCATCTTCCGCAGCGCCGCTAGGCTTTCTGTCCTTTCAGAAAATTTATGTTAGAGTAGATACATGGACTGATTTGAAGACACATGCAATTCGATATTGTTCCCAATAAACGACTGTCATTGTACTATGATACGCAGCATTCAGACCATAGAGAAAAAAAATTGTCGGCAGGTTTCGAACCTACACCATCCAAGAGGAACAAATTTCGAATCTGCTAACAACTTGGTCATGAGTAATTCTCGTGGTTGACATTCGAAGACCTCTCCATGAGCTCATGCCCACTTGGAGGTGCGATCATGGAGAAAAATCTTTGTCGGCGGGTTTCGAACCTGCACGATCAAGCAGGAACAGATTTCAAATCTGTTGACCACTTGGCCATGAGTCTTGACGTTCGAAAACCTCTCCGTGAGCTCACGCCAGCTTGCAAGGTGCAATCATGGATAAAAACCGTTGTTGGCGGGTTTTGAACCTGCCCAATCCAGGAGGAACAGATGTTGATGTTAACCACCTGGCTAAGACTTAATTAAGATAAATCGATGAGTTTAAGCTAAACATGCCAAATGGGTAAGGTCTGCCCGACAATTGGGCTGGCGAGAACGACACTAGCTAACCATAGTGTCGTAAATTGCGAATCAGACCTACATGTACCAGCTCGCGCAGCCGTACAAAGTGCGCGAACGCCGAACATGGGAAGAATCTGATGTTAGCGGTGGTCCTCGATGAGAATGCATGTAACTGTAGTGTCCTGTCACCAATCGATGATAGGCCGTAAGGCCCGTATCGATGACAGTTTGTATCTCGCCCTTATATGAGCCAGCCCACATGTACAGCTGCGCATCTGTAGACGGAATCAACTTACAATAGTCGGGAGAAGTCGTGTAATCGAGTATACCTAGAAGGTAAGTAGTTGCCAGCCAGAGCCAGTGATGTCGGCAGGAACGAAAAGCTGCTTCTCCCTCAGGCTGAAATTATGATATTACTGCAGCCATTAAGCCAATAACTTGTTGCATTCATGTGGTCGTCTATCAGTACAAGATCAATGCGAGAAGAGACTGATGGAACGAGAAATTGAATCAGCCGCAACATGGTGAAGCACAGTACTACTAAAACAAGTGCTGAAAGTATTACTAACTTGTATGCGGGACACCACATGTCTACAACAAGGCCGACATGTGGATTCAGGGATCTGTGCGTGTGCAAGTGACCGCTCCCACATCAACGCTCCTGCTGACCGAGACACAGAAAAAGATTCAATGGCGGCCACCACTCACATAGTAGTGTCCCGACTCCCGAGCGCCAACTCAAAAGGAAATGCCTCATGTCAGATTCGAACTAACGCTCAAGGGTCATGAGAAATCGGTGAACGAGATAGCTTTCATCCGTGGTACCCATCTCCTCGTCACTGGCCCCCACGACAAGACTCTTCGGGTGTAGAATCTGGACACGGGGAGACAAGTGGGCAGTGGAGCAGTCGAAAGGTAGCTCGACTCCTAGGAAGTATAACAACATACACAATTGCAAGGAAGGCTAGCTAGGGAGAGGCCGGCACGAGGGCGGGATAGGGTAATCAGCGGATGACGCGCACTGGCCCGAAAGACGCCGATAGAGACCTGCACACGGAGTCTGCATCGAGTCCATGTGTATAGACTGTCCAATTCCTGGATGTCCCCTGAGAAGTAGTCGGGCAATTTGCTGTATCGTGAGCAGTCCGAAATTCTGAAACTTGCAACGAGTTGAATAGTGGTCAAGCCGTACGGAGGGTCTAGTGGCAGGAATTAGCCGAAAACTTATGTAAGGTTGCAAGTGAGAAATTAGACGTATCGATCCGACAATTGAAGACTCCTTCCACTAATAAGTTACTGATCAATCATAATATCTATTATTACCACGATTCTGCGACTTACGAGTCACCAACTCCGGCGCTATACGCACACTATGGCGAATACTATGGAATTGGTCCAGGTTTGTTCCCCATCGTTCAATGTTAAACTCTCCTCGTTTACAAGGCGGATGCATAACAGACAGGCAAACGCGATCGTCTCATAGAGCTGGAAAAAAAGTATCAAACGAAATGGCAGGAGGATCGTATATTCGAAGTTAATGCCCCTTCATCCGACTGAACTGAAGGGCCTATCACCTGCCCGAGTCCAGGACAAATACCCCAAGTGGTTTGGCAATTTCCCTTACCCATACATGAACGGCTCTTTACATCTGGGACACGCGTTCACCATCTCCAAAATCGAATTTGCCGCCGGATACCAGAGATTATTGGGCAAGCGTGTCTTATTTCCTCATGGTTTACATGCAACGGGCATGCCGATCAAGGTGAGTGATCCCAGACTTTTGAAGATAGTTAATCTGATTTCTGATTTCTTGGACAGGCGGCCGCTGACAAGATAATTCGTGAAATGGAAATGTTCGGCCCCGATTTCGAACGATTCGATGAGGACGCGCAAGACGATAAACCTATCAAAGCGGCGCCAAACGGCCCAGCCGCACCTTCAGCAGCAGTCGGGAAAGCTACGAAGGGCAAGATTGCCGCAAAATCTACGGGACTGACGTACCAGTTCCAAATCATGTTGTCAATCGGCGTCCCGCGCGTGGAAGTCAAGAAGTTTGCGGACCCCCATCACTGGCTGGAGCACTTCCCGCCGATCTGTAAGGTGCGCTCATCGCCGCCTAACTTTCTCATGTTCTCATTCATGTACTGTAGGAGGATAACAACGCAATGGGAAATCGTATTGATTGGAGACGTTCGTTTGTCACAACCGACCTGAACCCTTACTACGATTCGTTCGTTCGATGGCAAATGAATAAATTGCATGCATTGGGCAAAGTCAAGTTCGGGGAGCGATACACAATCTACAGCCCTAAAGACGGACAGCCCTGTATGGACCATGATCGGTCGGACGGTGAAGGTGTCAACCCCCAAGAGTACACTGGCATCAAGATGGAGGTCGTAGAATGGAGTCCCGCTGCGAAGGTCATTGAAGGCAAAGTCAATGATCGGAAAGTATATTTGGTCGCTGCGACGTTGCGCCCCGAAACCATGTAAGTATTTTTATCTTCATCTCAATTATTGTCTCTTAGCCCGTCCCACAGGTACGGTCAAACAAATTGCTTTGTGGGCACGTCCATAAAATATGGCGTCTTCGCGATCAACGATACAGAGGCATTTGTATGCACGTATCGTGCAGCTCGTAACATGGCTTTTCAAGGTCTGTCGCCTGAGCGCGGCCAGACTCAACAGTTATTGGAGATAGATGGTGCGGCCTTGGTCGGCACAAAGATTAAAGCACCATTTGGATTAGCTCCTGAGGTGTATGTGTTGCCTATGGATAATGTGTTGTCCACGAAGGTGAGTTGCTCATCATACCTTCGTTGACCTTTTTGACATTAGTCTTAGGGTACTGGTGTCGTCACTTCTGTGCCATCAGATTCTCCCGACGATTTCGCAACCATCAACGATCTACGCAAGAAACCTGAATTTTACAAGATCGATCGCGATTGGGTTTCCGTCGATCCGATCCCGGTGCTGACGACTCCGACCTATGGCGAGCTGACTGCGCCCCGATTGGTTGAGAAGCTGAAGATTCAGTCCCAAAAAGACGTCAAACAGCTGGCAGAGGCAAAGGAAATCGCGTACAAGGAGGGTTTCTACAGTGGAGTGATGTTGGTCGGCGAGTTCAAGGGTCTGTCCGTTCAAGAGGCAAAGCCCAAAGTGCGCGCAAGCATGATCGAACAGGGATTGGCTTTCGCATACGCCGAACCTGAGAACCCGGTCATCTCGCGCAGCGCGGATGAGTGCGTTGTCGCCCTGATGGACCAGTGGTACATGGATTACGGCGAACCTGTTTGGAGATCAGAAGCCGAGAGGTTCGTATTCCGTAGCTCTTCTCTTGTTTTGCTTACCTACTGGACTTCAGGTTGCTGGCAAAGATGGAGACATGGACGGTCGAGACTCGGAACTTGTTCGAGGCCACCTTAGCATGGCTGAATCAGTGGGCTTGTGCTCGGACATACGGCTTGGGGTCCAAGCTACCTTGGGACCCCCAGTTCATGGTCGAGAGTTTAAGTGATTCGACTATCTACATGGCGTACTACACTGTTGCACATCTGTTGCACGGTAAGTGTTTAGAACCAACATTTATCATCTCGCTGACCACATTCACTTAGATGGTGACATATTTGGTCGAACACCGGGGCCTCTGGGCGTCAGCGCCGAACAGATGACTGACGAGGCCTGGGAATATGTTTTCTGCAACGGACCGTGGCCAGACCCAGAGCCGTTCCCAAAGGAAAAGGCTGACGCATTGAAGCACGAATTTAATTACTTCTACCCCTTCGATATGCGTTCCTCCGGCAAAGACTTGGTCCAGAACAACCTGACGTTCTTGCTTTACAACCACGCTGCAATCTTTCCTGAAGACAAGTGGCCCAAGGGCATCCGCACGAACGGACATCTGATGCTGAATGGCAAGAAGATGTCGAAGAGCACGGGCAACTCACTGACGCTGAGGGAAGGCGTGCTGAAGTTTGGCGCTGATGCAATGCGTTTGTCATTGGCGGATGCTGGCGATGGCGTAGAAGATGCTAACTTTGATGAAAAAACTGCTAACGCAAACATCCTGCGCTTGCATACGTTGATGACCTGGTGTGAGGTATGAAATTTTCGATCTCTACGAGACGATGTACTAACGACTTCTTTAGGATATATTCAAGGACGAGTCTAACCTACGTACTGGTTCCAAGAACTCCTACCATGATCGCGTGTTTGAGGAGGAGATTGTCGACCTGATCAACATTACGAAGAGTCATTATGACGCGTGAGTACTATCCAACAGCTCTTTATCATGGTCTCATTTGTCTACACTAGAACCGCTTTCAAGGACGCTCTCAAGTTCGGCTTCTACGAGCTGCAGAGTGCCCGTGACTGGTACCGAGAAGTCACCGCCGAAATTGGAATGCACGCAGACTTGGTCAAATATTGGATCCGCGTTGCTGCGTTGATGATCACACCTTTTGCTCCTCACTTTGCGGAGCATATCTGGACGGAGGTGTTGAAGGAGCCTCGTTCCGTACAGCTGGCACTGTGGCCAGACCCAGGGCGCATCGCGGACAGGTCGATCATTGAGACCGGCGTGTATATGCGTGGAACGCTGAAGACGATCCGCGATGCTGAGTTTACGTTGTTGAAGAGGTTGCAAAAGGGCAAGAAAGGCAAGGGCGCGGAAGATGCGCTGTTCGACCCCAAGAAACCCAAGGCCGTCCGGATTTATGTTGCGACCAAGTTCCTGAGTGGCAGGAGACGTGCGTACAGGCTGTCAAGGATTCGTACTCAAGCCCAGACGATAAGGTAGACGACGCGAAAGTGCGCGATATCCTGATAGAGAAAGGGTTGATCAAGGACAAGCGCGCTATGCCATTTATTCAGGCGTTCAAGGTAAGGGACTACCCTCTTTTGCTGGCTCATCTCATCTCGAAACGCAGAAACGAATGTCAGAAATTGGTGTCGATGCTGCGTTCCGGCGAACATTGTTGTTCTCCGAGTCTGAGATTTTGAAGGAGTTGCTGCCGTATCTGAAAAAGTCTTTGAGCTTGGAAGATGTGGAAGTCTTCTCTGTTGAGGAGGCATTACAAAGAGAGGGTCATGGTTTTACGCGCACCATCATAGAGTCCTCCGAACCTGGAAGCCCTGCCTTCGAGTATCGTAACATATAGAGTTATATAGAGCTCCTCTATTCGTTCTCAAAATACCACTATCACAATGTACTTAGAGATCGATTGTAGTTTTATCACGGTTATAACATGGTAATCAATTGGGAGGTCATATATCGTGTGACAATCTTCATGGAATGAAATGTTACGCGCGCACCCAAAAATTGACGAGATTGAGATTACACACTGAAAGCTGGATCAATCAAGAGATACACTACAGGCTTTGCGAGGCAGGCGCATCACACATTCGCGCAAGATAGTGCAGGAGGATGGAATGCGTCCATTGAAATAAATGACTCTATGTTATTGATACTGACATACAACTTTTATCGGGATTACCCCGCTGCGCCGGCTTTACAGCTCATCGTGGTCATAATAAGGTTCATCATCCTCGGGTTCGCTTGCACCTCCTCCATTGTAGAGCTTGCTCGTGATGGGACTAACGACGCTCTGAATCTCCGACAGCTTCTCTTCGAACTCCTCAGTGGAGGCACTCTGGCCGTTGTCATCAATCCACTCCGTGGCCTCCTTGATGGTCGCGAGGAGGGTCTTCTTGTCCTCGTCGTCGATCTTGCCGCCAAGCCCGGCCTGGTCACCGAGTTGTGACTTGAGTCCGTAAACGAACGTGGACAGGGCGTTGAGAGACTCAATGCGCTTGCGGTTAGCTTCGTCCTCAGAGGCGAAATCTTCGGCCTCGCGGACCATGCGCTCAATGTCCTCCTTAGAGAGACGACCCTTCTCATTCGTAATCGTGATTGATTGAGATTTACCACTAAGAGCACAGTCAGTGTCATATAGGGCTGACTGAAAGGCATTGACTTACGTTCCCTTATCAGCGGCACCGACCTTCATTATACCGTTGGCGTCGATCTCGAATGTAACCTCAATCTGAGGAACACCACGAGGAGCAGGGGGAATACCCGAGAGTTCGAACTTGCCAAGGAGGTTGTTGTCCTTAGTCAATGATCGCTCACCCTCGAAGACCTGGATCAGGACAGTAGGCTGGTTGTCAGCAGCCGTTGAGAAGCTTGGTAGATCATCATCAGTACGTTTCACTCGCTCGCGAAACAGAAGGACTCACATCTGCGACTTGCGAGTGGGAATGACAGTGTTGCGGGGAATGAGTTTGGTGAAGACGCCACCGGTGGTCTCAATGCCAAGTGTCAAAGGATTAACATCGACCAAGACAACATCTTCGGTGCCCTCCTCACCGGAGAGGATACCACCCTGGACAGCAGCCCCGTAAGCAACAGCCTCATCGGGGTTGATACCCTTTGACGCCTCTTTGCCGAAATACTCCTTGAGGAGTTGTTGAACCTTGGGAATGCGGGTCGAGCCACCAACAAGGACAACCTGAAACCGTGTTAGGCAGTGAGCATGATAGTTGTCAGTCACCTCACCTCGTCAACGTCCTCTTTGTTGATCTTCGCATCCTTCAGTACCTGCTCAACGGGCTTCATAGTCTTGCGGAACAGATCCATGTTGAGCTCTTCGAATTTAGCGCGAGTGAGCGTCTCTGAGAAATCGTTGCCATCCTCGAAGGATTCGATTTCGATGCGAGTCGATTGTTGGCTCGACAAAGTGCGCTTGGCCTTCTCCACCTCGCGCTTTAGCTTGCCCATGGCGCGGAGGTTGCTGGTGACGTCAGTTCCAGTCTTCTTCTTATACTGTTTGACCAGATAGTCGATGACACGGTTGTCGAAATCCTCACCACCAAGGTGGGTATCACCAGCAGTTGCCAGGACCTCAAAGACACCGTCATCGATCGAAAGCAAAGAAACATCGAAAGTTCCTCCTCCAAGATCGTAGACGATAATTTGGGACTCGCCCCCTTCTTGTTAAGACCATAGGCGATAGCGGCAGCGGTAGGCTCGTTGATAATACGAAGAATGTTTAACCCGGCAATCGTACCAGCATCCTTCGTGGCTTGACGCTGGGCGTCATTGAAGTCTTGAAGAAAAAAATCGTAAGCGAGGGAAGGTCAGATCAGCGTTAGACTTACATGCGGGGACAGTTACTACTGCGTGAGTAACCTTCTCGCCGAGATAGGCTTCCGCGGTCTCCTTCATCTTCGTCAGAATCATGGCGCTGATCTCCTCTGGAGTCTGAAGAACGCGGTCAGTAAGGCATTCAGAGGTCTGATCTTGATAGCTCACAAATTGGCGTGTATCGCCCTTGTAACCTATGGAAATAGCGGGTTTACCACCCTTGTCAACAATGTCGAAGGGAAAGTGTTTGATGTCACGCTTTAATTCCAAGTCGTCCATTTTTCGACCAATGAGACGTTTAGCGTCGAATACAGTGTTAGTCGGATTTGAATGGAACGCGTTCTTGGCGCTATCACCAACTCTGTAGGAAGTTGGTCAGCCCAGATTTCCTGGCTTGCAGAATAAAACTTACAGCCGCTCGTCATCAGTGAAGCTGACCCATGAGGGTGTTATACGATGACCCTGGTCATTGGCAATAATTTCGACACGACCACCGCGTTGAACGCCGACACACGAATAAGTTGTTCCCAAGTCTGCGAATAAGGATGTTAGATATTCGAAACAAATGACGCAGTGTAAGTACGCTTACCTATGCCTATTACCGTACCGTATTCACTGTTCGAACCCGCTGCAACAGCGGGACATAAACAAAACAGAGCAAGGAAAGCAAGGAAAAAGAGGGAGAGCGAAGACGCCATACGCCATGATTTGGCGCGACTCGGACGGCCAGACATTGTTGTCACAAGAGAAGTTGGTACTTGGTTGGTGAACCAGCTCCGATGTATTTATGTCTTTCAAAGGACACGCAAATGACACGTATACATTCCCACACCTGTAATTATGTAAGTTACATTATCACGTGCTGCTATATCGCAAATAATTATCATGAGTCGTATACGAGCACCAACGATCATGGATTCATCTACTGAATCGTTTCATCATCATAAAAAAACTTTGCATTCGAAACGTTCGTTTGCAAAGCATCATTCAACAGAATCTCCTACTTATGATGCGCAAGTACTACTTCTTTTTCATTTCCTTGTCTATATAGCTTACACCGTGTTCAGGTCAGAAGAAGATAATGACCCTCTCAGTACCGATGACGGAGGCTCTTCCTTGTCCATTCCGACCATCTCTCGTTCAGCTAAACCCCCCTTTCAATCAAAAACAGCATCTCGTGCTCGTCATCAGCTGGCCTCCAGTATGCTCTCAGATGATGGCACTGATTCCCAAACATATGATGGCGATATAGAGAGCAGCGTCACTGCAGCAGCCGGTTCACATCCCTTTAACAGGACACTACATCCTAACCTTCACCATTCTTCATCCGCATCAACATTGACCTCTCAAATCGATGATGTGCTACCGTCTTCGACACCCGACGCGCTTGCACCTGATGAACCGATGCCTACTGCTGAAGCAACGTCTACGTTTAACCCTGCTGCCCTCACTCCCGAACATATCCAGGCCTTCATACGCGAGGCTATTGAGGGCCAATCCTCCAGACCCTACAAGATTAATCAACCACCGCTGAATAGGCCTGTTAGAGTTTTTGCGGATGGCAAGTATCCCTCTATCTTGATAAATGTTGTGCTAATTCGTATTAGGAGTATATGATCTATTTCACTTTGGGTATATCCGTCCCTCCCTTTCTTTATAATGGTACTGATCTTCGAGCTAGTCATGCCCTGCAATTACGGCAAGCCAAGCTGTCCTTTCCATCTGTATATTTACTCGCTGGTGTCAACTCCGATGAGGACGTTGTCACCAATAAAGCACGCTGTGTGATGACACAGGCTGAACGGTACGATGCTCCGGTTCTCCACAACTGAATACTCAATCACCACTGATATAGATGTGAGGCTGTGCGACATTGTCGCTGGGTCGATGAGGTCATTCCTAACTCCCCATGGGTTCTTGACCAAGCTTTTATCGACAAGTGGAATATCGACTACGTTGCTCACGACGAAGTCCCTTACGTGTCGGCCAGTCATGATGACGTTTATGGTTTTGTAAAGGCACTAGGTCTGTTCCAATTCTTTTCCCCCTACTCCTTTAAAAGTTGACACGCCCAGGTAAATTCATTCCTACTCGGCGTACACCGGGTGTGTCTACTTCGGAACTACTCGAACGCATTGTGTCAGGATATCGGAAGCGCGATTTCGATGGGAAGTTGGAAAAGATGGGCCATGCTGAACTCAAAGCTGAGGGGTCAGACTTCGATGATAAGCGCTAGCCGGCGTGTAAGTGCGCAGGCAAGTTTCGAGTCGAAGCTGACTAGATGAGTCTGAATGGCGAGCTTGCTCGACTTCAGCCTATATACATAGCCTTTGAACACCATAATATAACATACATTCCAGTGCTTCATCTGTGTTATACTACTTCTACGGGTGTCTAGATTGATTCTGTGTTGTTCTACGTCCCGCCATTGGCATAGTGTTGACAGTTCTGACTGGGATTGTGTAAGACATATTGTGTCTGTAGGGTATTGTATTGACTTCGCTAATCCCTTGTTGATAGTGTTTTAAGGATAAGTCCGGTCACAGACAACTTGTGATTGCTCAAGAGTGATGAGATTCCAGGGAACCGAAGCTTAAGAATTTCAGTCGAGCGCGGATGCATTTGACAAGTGAACGCGTGATCATGTGATCAGTTGCCTGTCTCAACCCTCGAGTCCTCGACGAGCTTGACAATTACAAATCCCAATTGCAAGATCTGTGCAAGGTACCACGAAGTCAGGCCGTTTTCTCGTTGTTAATAATATTAAAAGAAGTAAGTTACTGATTTGAAGTTTTGCTCTAGTCTGCCGTGCATCTCATTTCACTTGATTGCAAGTCACGATGGTGGAGACGGAGTCCATTCCTGGTGCGACTTTAGTCAACATGATGCCAGTGAATGGTGGCGTCTTCCACAGGTCCTTCTCTTCTCCAGATGCTGATGTGATACTCGGTGCCAAAGATCATACCCTGTTCCGTATCCACTCATGGACGCTCAAGACGACATCGGGCTGGTTCCGATCCCTCTTTTCCATGCCTCAACAAAGCCCTCCGAATCACCCTGAGACCATCAATCTAGACGAGGACTCACATACACTAGAGAGTCTGCTACTTATGATCTGCGGTCTGTCGATCAATCCGCTCACATCGTATGACGAGGTTGATGCATTATTATTCGCCGCGGAAAAATACGAAATGCCAGGGCCTGTCTCGCTCATACGCGCGCTTATTATGACGCCCCCGCTCTTAGACCAGCCTCTGCGTCTCTATGCAGCTGCAACACGTTGTGGATGGGTAGAAGAGGCCAAACAGGCATCCGCGCAGTCGCTTGCTCTGAACATCTATGCACCGGAACATCAACCTATCCTCCAAAAACTACGCACAGGCGCTGTGCTTGACCTGATAAACTTGCATCGCGATCGACGCGAAGGCATTCGGAAACAACTTAATGAGCAGCCGTTTGTGACAGGAAGCACGGTGGCATCTTGCCCACGGTGCAGATGGTGGATTGATCATCATACGTGGAGAGAGCTCAAGTATAAAGTTGTGATGGAGATGGATATACGACCGCTAGGAGATACGGTCGTTGATGTGGGATTGACGAACTGGCCTGAGGCGATCGCGTGTTGGGATGCCAAGTGCCCTAATACCGAGTGCCCGCATGTGTTATACGACAAGGTTGAGACTTCCCGTCTCATTCGGGACTGTATTGACGACCTTCCTAAGACAATATGAAATGTAGTAGTGCATCATTAGACACGATGTTATGATAGTCGAGCAAATATCATTTACAGCTGGATGTTCTATGTAAGCTCAAAATCTCCGTTCACTCAGATCAGGGGCTTAACGTTCAACTTGCAGTGTGTACATGATTCTTAACCTGCTATGACCGTATCAGGCCATGGAGCCATTCAATATTAACGCCGAGATTCGTGTCTTCTTCGTTCCCAGCGAAAATGAACGTATGTATGTCCCCCCATTCCGAGTCTGGCCGTCACCGTGGTAAAGGGGTGACTTGACCACCTTTTCTTTGTTTAGTTACAGCCTATACTGACATACTATTGATACAGAATGAGCAAGAGGACGCCATGACGATGTTCAACTGTGAGTCTCAGAGGGGCTCAAAGCACGGTACAGGTCCAAAAGAAAACTGTTTCGGGCTGCTCGATCACTGAAACTGCAGTGCCGAGTGTTCCCAGGTTGTTCGGTTCGAGAACGCGTCAGCAAAAAAGTTTGAGGGGAGTGCACGCCTGAGCCAAACCGTTACTGGAGTACCTGGTAAAGGGGTTCGAGTGGAGCGCACACATGGCATCGATGCGAATTGCCTCCGCGGGATCAAACTCTTTGTAGAAGTTTAGTTACATATACTTGTATCCCAACTCGCTTTGCGTGTTTTCTCGCACGACATATATGGGCTCTTCACTCCCAGTCAAGCCGGCAAGCGCCAGTGGGCAGAGTACTAGTACTGGTATCAAGTCACCTCAGAAACAAGGCTGGTGGGCTAGATCACGGCCCCTCGCACTCTTGGTTGCGCTGGGAGCCACGGCAGCGACCGTGACTTGGCTTAAACCTGAAACCCATTCCTTAGACTATGCAGTCTGTTCTGCCAACTCCACCATCTACACAGTCGACTCAGATCTTCCGAATGTCCAATGCATCGTTGTACACGATACCCTCATCTCAGACACAGGTGATCTAGGTATGCGCGAGTCAACGTGGCCTTGTTTATGCAACCAACTCACGCGCTGCGCTTGTGATAGAGGACGTAACCTTACGCTGGCGGGGTCGATGGTGGTCAGAGATCCCACTGGCAGGCGTCATCCACTTACCTTGGCCATTTAATTTTCTCGAACCATCTCTGAGAGTAATAGACATCCAACCTGACAGTATCGTAGTTCCCGGGCTGGCTGGTACGAATCACCAACTTGAATTCGAATTTCGAGCCCTCATTCTTGACCCTTGAAGACGCCCATGCTCATATATTGCACTATGGTTTTAAGATGAATCTCAACTTGGAAGACTGTGCCTCTGTAGATGGTTTGTTTCGACTGGCTTTGTAGTCCACCGTCAACATACTGATGCAGCATGAAAGAGGTTTTGAGCCGCTTGAAAGCTTATGTTATATCACATCCTGACATTCTGGGTGATCCAACTCGGTGGATAGAGGGCATGGGATGGGATCAGAACAAATGGCCTGGAGCGCAATATCCTCATGCCGTATGTCTCTTTATTTACTTTCTCTTCACAGTTCCTCACAATACCCAAGGACGACTTTGATAGGGAACCACTTCTTCGCGGTCGACGAATCTCTCTCGCCCGTATCGATGTTCATGCCTCCTGGGTATCCAATCGCGTGCTGCAGCTCATGGCACCCCTCCCCGAGAACATCGATGGGGGGCTGATTATTCGTGACGGGCACGGGAAACCCATCGGTGTGTTTCTCTCCTTCGGGAGTTCTATTCTTGAGGCAGTACCTCTTTGTCTGAAACCTTTATGGAATTACAGGAATATTTGTCGATAATGCTATGGATCTCGTTCCCTCGCAACCCTTCAGCGAGGCCCGCGCAATGGAGTACTTCACCCGCGCTGGTAGTGATGCCCTCGCTGTGGGTCTGACTAGCGTGCACGACGCATTTTCTGTCCCAGAAGAAATACGGTTCTACAAGAAGTATGTTACCCATGCTTTCCCAAAATTTTTTGAATTAATCATCTTCCAGACTTTCAGAGACTCAGAAGCTACCTGTTAGTTCTCGGTCTCCTGGAGCGTAGCAGTTTACTGACATGGGTACCAGCTCCGGCTTTATCTCATGGGCAATGTGAACTCTGATGACTACTGGGGAAGCCAGATTCCAAGACTGATTCAGCACGGATTTGGTGGACGATTGACAGTGCGCAGCGTCAAACTTTTCTTGGATGGTCGGTTCCGTTCCAATTGATGCTCTGTGCTTATATTCATCTTCAATAAATAGGTGCGCTTGGTTCATTCGGTGCTGCACTGCTTGAGCCCGTGAGCATCTACCCACGTTACCGTTCAAGCATGAATGTGCTGATATAAAGATTTTAGTATAGTGATAATCCATCAACGAGCGGTATCATGCGAGTGCGGCCGGAAGTACTGGCAAAGCTAGTAAGGGAGTTTTCAACCGATGGTTGGCAAGTTGTAAGTGTCTGATATCTATGATCTCTTTTCATCCTTGTACTACCTCAACTATTTGACCTTTACCACTAGAACATCCACTGCATTGGGGACCGGGCGAATCATGTCGTACTTGACATTTATGAGGATATTCTCGCCAACGCTTCGTTTTCCATAGGTGCTTTGCGACCTCGTATTGAGCATGCGCAAATCTTGACACTGGATGATATCAAGCGGACTGGAAATTTAGGTGGTAAGAGTCCAATTTTCACTTCACGTTCGTGTTATGGATGGGATAAAATTCCAGTGATACCCAGTGTGCAACCGACCCATGCGTGAGTCCGTCGACGTACCTTGTCAACTGTCTGACTGATATATCTCGTCTTACAGGACAAGCGACATGTGGTACGCTGAGGATCGGTTGGTAAGTCCTTTTTCTTATCTCGTCTTGGAGCACATCAAACTGGGTTCCTACAGGGTCCAAAGAGAATCCTAGGCGCATATGCATATCGAGCTCTACTCAAGTAAGTTACTTTCTCTTCTCGGCTTGTATCGAGGTGGCACTAATACCCCACAGCGCATCTCCAACCGGAGTCTTGCCCCTTGGCTCTGACTTTCCTGTCGAGGGCATCAACCCCCTTCTTGGTTTCTATGCCGCTGTTTCACGTCTCTCTGCAAAAGGCGACTCGCCTCATGGTTCTGGAGGATGGTGAGTTTCTGACATGCTTTCACATGCGGTGTTTCAAAAATTATTGATTACCCTCTTTCTAGGTACCCATCCGAACGTCTCACGCGCGCTGAAGCGCTCAAAGGCATGACGCTCGACGCTGCATACGCGTCTTTTTCTGAAGATATTCTTGGTTCGCTTTCAATCGGGAAGAAAGCTGATTTCGTCGTTCTGGACCGTGATTTCATGACGGTGCCTATAGAAGATATCTTGGGTGCCAAAGTGACAGCAACTGTCATCGATGGGGAAGTCGAGTATGGGAATCTGTGACCGGCGACCGTATCTAATGTGAGTACTCCCAAATCTAACGAGCTCTTATCAAAGTCTACATGAACACTTGCATTAGAATTTGTATAATTGGTTCAGTTGGGAAGAATAGTTATATACAATATACTCCTCGTGCTCATTTTCCGAGTTGGTGTCATGAGTGGGTATTGTAGGCGTCAGTGAAGATGGGCTGGCGTCTGTTAATTTGGTGGTATTAATTAAGTGGAAACTCTTCAAATATGCTCGCAGGGACAGGCCGTGCTTTCGTCTTACGCTGTGGGAGAGTAAACAATGGTAACTCCGCTAATATTTCCTCTGTCCAAGTGCCCCTATTCTTCCAAAATGTCTCATCATCGGCCAAAACCTCCTCTTTGCATCTCCAGTAAGGACTCATACAATTCTGAACCAAGTGATTTCACTGACATATTACTCGTTCCATGGTAGGCATCGGCATAACTATCCATGACCCGAAAAGAAGGGTCGAATTTGCCGAGTTAAAAATTGGTGGTCATACGCGAGGCTTTCACAGTTCAGTCGCGGGATTGACGCTCAGTGCAACTTTTGATCCTGTCGTGTGAGCATCATTGCCTCAGTGTTTTCAATCTCTTATCATTCTCATTATTAGGGAGGTGATTGTCGACCAATTTTCTCTGTCTGTGCACTGTCGGCACAATATCATGGGTCTGATCTCGCAGAAGAAGCTGGTGGATTTATCATTCACTAGAGACAAGATTCTACATAGATCAGTTAACAGAGATGGCAAACGAGGTTCGCCCGCATCAATACATGTCTCTACCCGTATATGAAGTGATATCATTGTTAGAATTTCACGAGACCCAAGGGAAGATGACCATCGTTATCGAAATATGGTTAGTGTCTTTCTAGCTTTTTCAGAATTTTATATTGCATCCGCGTTCATGCGAGTTCATCAGGCAGTTGCGGTCAACTGTCGACGCTATCGTGCGGGCTTGTCCCAGGTTCCGACTGTTGGTGTTAGGGCAGGTCTGCCTTTTTATTGCTTTCATGCATGAATGAATCAGGACCATTTTCTAGACTGGCGTAGGAAAATCGGCATTGGTTCAACATGCATTCAAAATAAATGATGGAGTTGAGTCAGGAGACCATAGCAATGTCTTTGAACACGTACTGACACTCCCCTGCCTTTCCAGTTTATCTCCAAACACATGCGAGGCGACGTGGATATTAACAAGCAGCTCTTTACCACGGACAATTCAAAATTTGTCCTTCACGATGGCGGTGGCTTTGAAAGTGGCGACGGCAACAGTGTCTCAATCGTGAAAGACTTCATCGCTCGCCGACTTGAGATGCCTGACTTGGAGGATAAATTACATGCTATCTGGTACGATTTTTGGTTGTCTTTGCAGCTGTTTACTAGAAACCTATCGTCCAAGGCTTTGCATCCCGATACCTCGTATCAAGGAATGCTTGCTTGAGAGTGGTGTACAGGACTTTTTGAGATCAAGAAAGCAAGTACTCGGCCGTGACAGTGTGTACAATTCCCGCAGCTTGTGCTTTCGTGATTCATCTCCAATGACAGTTCCGATTGTTGTCGTTCTTACCCAATTCGACTTGTATGATGCGCAACACAATGCTATGGAAGCTGGCCAAATATTGGAAGATACGAAAAAAACACTCCGCCAGTCGTGTGTTGAACCACTTGAAGCTGCAGTCGATAGTGAGATACCGCATGTCGTTGTTTTTGGTGCGAAATGACCAGTCATTTTGCAAATCCGTATTGAAAAACCTCGTCAGCAGAGGACGCGATAGAAGACACCGTACAACAGCTAGTCGATGTCACAACCACCAATGTTGACAAATACGTCGCAGGGGAAGCGGCACTGGTTGCAATGATGGCTCAGCAAGTGGACATCGGTCTTAAGATCAAGGCGTCAATTGTGTATGCACAATCATCGCCCTTTTGCTGCTCTAATTCATCAGTGTAGCATTGGCAAGAAACGTTGGTGTCATCACTGACATATTCTTAGACGATGTTATGACTTATGGCCTTTTAAGGGCATTGGAAATGTCTTGCAGCGGGTACAAATTTCACGGGTTACACAATGTGGGAATGTCTGTCTGCGATCCATGCGGATATCATCGACATTTGGAACTTCGACGACCCCCATCAGGTAAGATGTCAACTATGCACGAGTTCTCACCATGAATCATGACTATATAACCTGTATCTACCAAGGATCTGCTCGGTCCCGAGTTCAAACAACTACTTCTACGAGGTCTGGACAATGTCAACCAGCTTCCAGATACGACAAATGCGTCGTGAGTCGTCGCGGTTAATTGCACACGTTCCAACTCATGGAGCGCCTGCAGTGATCTTGATTTCGGACTTGCTGTAGTCTCCGCAATAGTGGATATCCTTACGCCACATGACTTCGCACCTAGCGTGTCCGCCACTACGGGTGTTGTCACGCCTGCGTGGGCTCATGAGATCTACCGGCCGACGTGAGTAAATGTATACCTCGACTAACATGAACTTGCTCAGGATAGAGATTTCAATCTAGCAACATGACTTTGTCGCGGATCATGACATATATTGTGGACTTGACATGCACAATGCAGATTTTGTTCCTACTTGCGCCCAAATGGTCCATCTCTTGTCCTGTCATCAAGCTTGCCATGATGGCCTATGATGCGGCGAGCAAAAACCATGTCCACGCAGCGATTCAATCCAGCGTGCCCTCAGTAGTTTCTGATGCACGTCTCGAGAGGGACCACGCGTTAAATAGGATTATCGAGGTGATCGAGCAGTATTCCATCAAAGCTAGTAAGGCTCAGGACCTGAGGGCCAAAATCATCGATGTGCAGCGTCGACTGGATGATGAGTGGGTTTGGGTCTGATTGCTGTTGGATGGCTAGTTTCTTGTACTTATATACATTCTTCAATGTCGATCCTCATGTTCCCCACCCGTGAACCTGCAAGTGCAAGTCAAGCTTCACGCAGTTGATTGAGATTGTCAAATCGGACGCAACAGCGACGTTACTCATTCCAAAGTCGACTGCTTGAACAAGTGAAGTCATTGGGCTTAAGGTAATTCGTTAAGTATATACGAAGATCAGAGAATGGTCCATCAACGATGCACTAAGACAGCAGGGTATGACCAAGTTCTTATGCGGCATCACGTCACATCTCCGTCATTGCTATTTATCGATCCAGCACTCTCGAGACCTGCCTTGCTCACTCGCCTCATTGGCTGCAAAGTGTTCTCATCCACCGGAGCCCGCCTGACATGTCGATACCGTCCCTCCCGGTCCCTTATCTCCATGTCCTGGCCTATTTCCTCCCCTGCTTCTTCCTCCTCGCGGTCCCATGAAGGCATTGGTGGTAAGCTCTCCCTAACATGCGCTGGCCGCCTGCCCGTGCCCACACCGACGTCACCAACACTACTTTCACTCACTGCAGCAGATGGCTTGGGCTTCGTTATACGCCCGAGCTCTGCTTCCTCAAATGCCATGAGTTCGCTTACAAACCCGATATTCGGGCTGATACCTTTGCGGCGCTCTAGGACAAACTGGTATGCACGTGCCAGTGGCCAGTGGTGGCTGTGGATGAGATACGCCATCACTGCGGTGACGCTACGTGACTTCCCAGCTTTACAGTGCACATATGTGGGTGCGTTGTAGAGAGCAGCCTCGTCTGCATCGGAAATCAGTTCATGTACATCGAGGAAGAACGTATAGTGGTGGAAACGAGAGAAGCTTTGAATTAGAAACCCAATTTTCTACCGACAGAAATATTGGATTGTAACAGAAGTGAAGTACTCACCAAGCACATCACAGGCCTCACTCAACCCCTTACGTACTCCTTCCTCCTCGACACAATCCCTCATCGGAATATGCACATACCGCTCGAACCGTTCCCGCAGCATTAGCCCACGGTCGTCTGTACATTCAGCCGCGATGTTAATGATTCGCTTAACGCCTAGGGATTTTAATTCGGAGACATGTGCAGGTAAAATAAGTTCAGGGCCGAGGAAGAGGAAGTTAGGGAGGATCGTAGAGATGACGAATTCTTCACGTTCGTTTTCGGCATCTGAGGAAGTGCTACCGGGTGTGGAATTTGTGGGCGTCGGCCTTGCAGTAGATGGTGTCACGGGCATTGGCGGAGATGAACTTGCATTCCCAAGGCAGCTACCATTGGTGAGACTGAAATTGAAGCTCGAGTTATACGCGCTCGCTGGAGGTGTGTGATTGGAATGGAGGAGCGTGAGATGCGACGGGGATGCAGGCGGTGGGTGGAGGAACACGGCCTGTTGCGAGGGTGTGATAGGGAGCGTAGAGCTGCGCGTTGGGGCTGTGTGAATCTGAAGCCGCGGGAGAGTTGTCACAACATGTTTGTTTGGTTTCGCCAGAGTCTGTTCGCACTCTGCGCTACTATTTGCTCCATTACTGGTTCCATTTGCCTTGATACTATCAACACTGACATTATTTGATCTCCGCGGGGGAGGTGGGCGGCGGAAGGCAAGTTTGGAGGGCGGAGGGTCAGAATCTATAGGGCTATCAAGAGTGAGCGAGAGCCCAGGCATAACTGGTAATGGTGAGTGTCCTTGTCTTTCCACTTCGCCCCCATGGCCTTGATCTGCCTGTTCTATTTGCACGCTACTACTAGGCCCAGCAGCACTGCGAGTGTCAAGTTGAAGGAATGCCTTTCCCTTTGCGCTCTTGGGTGGGTTTGGCAGTTGCAAAGAGGCTTGGGAAGGAGAAGGAGGAGAATGGGGCACATTGATGATATATCTTCGAAGTCGTGCATGAAGTTGAGCACCTACAATCCCTCCGCGAAGATACCACACCTTGTCCGGGTTCAGGAACCTTGAGAGAACTGAAAGGAGGGCCCATGCAATGACGCCCGGATTATCTCTCTCCCGTTCATCAGTCTCTTCCCCATGAACGATGATGATATCCCCGTCGATGTCCCAGGAATCAAAAACTTCCTTTCCTTCGTCACTGGTGATGAACTGGCGAAGTGATGCGAAAGTCGGTAATGTGCGTTTTGAACGCTTAAGAATTAGGGACGGCATGGCGATATTAATACTTCCTAAAATGTGAGTCGCGGTATAGGCGACGTGAGTGCGGGTGTCGATGAGGAGTGGACGAGTGGGAGAGACGAGACGAATAAGTAATTCAGCGGGATCCATAGCAGAAGTGGGAACGCGGGGGGATGGCATAGACGCGGAGCGTTGCTGAGGCTTCCGGGCACGGCTTGGAGGTTCGGGGGGAGATGAGGCAGGAGGACTGGGAAAGTGGATGTCAACGGGGGTAAGGTACGTGCTGCTTGCACTTTTAGGAGAGGAAGAATCTGAATCAAACTGCTGGCGGCGGTGTTGGTCTTGGCGCCATGGGATAGTGGTAGCACTTGGGATAGCAGTCTTCGGTAGTCTGCTAAACGAACGAATTGGTCGAAGACGAAGATTTTTCTGCACAGATTGGCGTAGCTGAGCAAGTTCTGCCAAGTCTCGCGACAACTCTTCTGCATCAGGAATGTTTAAGGCTATGGGGCTCGAGGACGAGGAAGAAGGCGAAGACAGCTGCAAAAGCTCATCATCCGATGCGAGCGGAGATTCTGATATTGATTCAGGAAACGTGTTGGGAAACGCATTCGACTCGGACTCGAACGAGTATGATCTTGACTGGATCGTTAAATTTGGTGGGCGTAGCCTAGTCATGTCCTAAGATGTTATTAGAAGGAGGGTCACTCCACCAAAGTTCCACGGTTTCCAAGTCACAGCGGTTTTAGGTCTAACTAGAGCTGATGACACAGGCTATCCTGTTAGCAGAAAATCAGTCAAAGAAAAACCAGCAACAGAGATACGAACTCAGAACAGTAAAAAGAGCGCTCTGTCGTGCTCTTGGTTACTTACACTATGGTTACTCGGATTCGGAATACCTCCTGACCCCGCGAGAGCCGAGACCCCGGCCGGCCGAAGTTGCTCTCTATTCGGCCTATAATTAATTAATTCATTACGTTCTAGCGACTGATCCACTTGCTTTTCGAGGAGTCGTCTATTCAGACGTCCATGGCCAGCTTCAGGCTTCACGGCATATTTTTCTACATGCATCCCTCATATGCATGTCGCACACCATGCTAATGTTGCATTGAACATGTACATATGGGCAGCTATCACTAATGTCCGGTGATCACCAACAAAGTAGATCCGGACTATCTATCATGATATACCTGCTGGGCATCACAGGTTGCGTGTGAGATTCACACTCCACTGGGTACAAATGAGGGATCCTGTCGCAGGACTGCCTTCCCTGCTGATTCGCGTAGTCGTGTGGTGCCCAGTCAGTTGTTTCTCCGTATCTGTCCAGATGAATCATTTACGGCAAGATCACCACTCAAGAAAACATTGAAGCGCTGATCGTGTATAATTGTCCTCTGAGGCTCTGCCGGCCAGCTTAGATGATTCATATTGCGGTCATGTCAAGATCGTCAGGCATGTTACCGCAAGGAGGCAAATGTGGCATCATCATCGAGGTCCACGTTAATACTTATTCACCACAATAAGTCATATCTGCGAGCATATCGGCTGACCAGAACGATTCCTTGTTTACGTGTATCCTAGCTGTCCTGTGGATCTGGTCAATATTTGATCGAGCGAGATTTTCGAAGGGCTGAGCACCGAGGCAGTGAGTCTGCTTCCACTCGCCGTAATAATATCCTTCTTCTCTATGATACATTATAGGTTCTCTCATCTTTTGATATCGAAGACTTCTCACTGGAAATCTTTTCTTGGCAAAGATAAAAATAAACAACAGTAACTACTGAATGCTACTGAAATAGCACCGGTCCCCACTCATGGACTGCCTTGCAGTACTTTAGCGCACAAATTAAACCACCGAGCTACACGTCTCAGCTTCGGAGGTGGTATAAGGCGCTGCAGCCGAGTGAGTAGCGAAGACCAGAGTCGTTGGCTGTGCTGTTTCGGCGCTCCACGCCCTTCGCCTCACAACGCGAAGAATTAGCATTTGGGGGGAAATACACTAAGAAAGAATTGAGTAACAGAAGTTCGGATATGACAGCTGTCACCGCTCACAGTAAACATGCCATATAACGAGAGGAAGAGAATCGAGGTATTGTTGTCAAGACCGTATAACACCAGAAATGTGATCCCAAATAATGTGTATGGTAGCGCAGACTCGACAACAATGGTCACTGTAGTGAAGTAAACCTTCGCAACTTCGGGACCAGGGTGGTTTCGCATGCACCTTGCATAAAATATTATGCGGCCACAGATAAGACAAGTGGTAATGACGTTGAGGCCAATGGTCAAGGAAAAATACACCAATCCAACGCGTGCTGCCAGCCCCTCAAAGAAATCGCCATTCGGAGAACCACTGGTGGTGAGGTCGAGAATCCCGAACACTGTCGATCGACTAAGTAGCCGCAAGGGAAGAAAGTGACTATCTTACCGAGAGACGATAACCAGAGGCAACAAGGAACGAGAAGCACGCGATAATTTCCAATCCAGACCGTGAAACATCGATGAATCTGACTGCTCATCAGTACACTCATCCCGGGATGAGCTATGGAGTGCACTCACGAGTAGAGCATCAGTCATCAACTGCAGCAGGATAGACGCAGCTGAACCCATTGTTTGATACCATACCGACACGTGGGCAACAAAGTATGCGAACGCTCCACCAGGGTAGCCTGCATTAATGATCCACATCTCCTGTCCCAAAACTAACTGCGTGGCCACAAAGATCGTGATAAGAAAGAGTATTATAGTACTGAAGATCATGTAGAACTTGTCTGAGGGCCTGTGCTCTAATTGTTTTTCGAAGTATGCTTGCATAGTGTTGAAGTACAGCATCAACTCCACACCTGTAGACTATCAAGTCAAGAATAATAACCTGTCAAAGTGCTCACCGTATAGAATGGAATTGAAAACATTGCCAATATAGAATGAATTTTGCAATAGTGTGTCGGACATGATTACAGCCTCAGTCCTACTAGGATATAAAGTCAATGGTCTGTGTGTGTACCTTGGATGAGGGATGAGAATACATCTCATAAATAAGTGTCTCGAGGCTCTGCCATAGTGTTTGAAGGCAGGTGATTCGGATACCACTGTGACCAATGGATACAGACACCAGAGCAGCGCTGCAGCGGAGACTCTGAACTTCATAGAGACTCCAGAACGGTTGCTCGATGGGAGGTACTTAACAGACTTTCGTGGATAGTTGAAGCTAAATCATCACATGCATCGCAATGAAGTCTAAGGCTGATGATATCGCAACAATATTGGACAATAGTTTGTAGGGCCCAGGCGTAGCGTGATGAGGAATATCGCCGCACTTGTGTGAGACAAGGGGCATCAGACTCGGATCAGAGATGATGGCTGCGATCAAAACTGAGACCTGAATTGCAGTTTCAGATGAGACAGTACTTGTTGGCCAAGACCAGTGCGGCCAGGGGGACGTGACTTAGCATGAAACGCATGATGTACTATATGATTTTTGGCGGTGAGAACTAGTGTGCCATGGCACTGTGGGGGGCAAAACTATGTGGCTTTAGTTTTGCCGGTTATAGCCGGCAAAACTTGGCAAAACTCTATAGGCACTCAGCTAGGTTATGTATACGTAGACCATGTGTACGACTCATCCCTAACATTGATGTTGCCTCGTCCCAGCCGTTACCCTCACCATTGTAAACAACCACCTCAACCTCATCTAGAACAGTCTGTGGTATTAATCCTTGTTCGACCCGATCCAACTTGTCAAAATCAAGAGCATTTCCCTCGAGCACTTCTAACTTCGTTAATGTTTTGAACTTCTTCAGTCATTTTCAGCTCTTCATGAGCTGCAAATTCAGTGGCGATGTCATCAGGCGAGATACTCTCTAGACCAGCAAGATCGACTGAGCCTCGTGTTTGCACGAATTTTGCTGTGTTTCAAATGTGTCAGCTGAAAGATTACACCATCGTGCAGATTGTATTGTGCCGATATCAGAGAATGTGTGCTCTACTTCACCTGCATGCCCTACGATCGAGAGGATTGTCACAGAGAAGGCCTTGAGTGGGTGGATTTCGGAATTGATTGGAAGGTTTTTCTACCAAGAAAAGTCGTCTGCTTGGCCGCCAGCGAATGGAGCTAGTGACTGATTATAAGGCCTCGACCTTGGATCCGAGCACCTGATGAGTTATCAGTGTCACCGCAATGTCTGCATTTCCAGTAGTAACGATGCGAGCTGTTGTCAACTTGTTCCAGGCACTCGAAATCGTCGTTGATCAGTGATGCGAGGGGGTGTCCTCCAGCATGCACCATCTTACTTTAGGGACGTCGTTTTGCATGTTCTCTTGAATTCAAACTATGTTATCAGAGATCTAAATTACGTCTCCGCGAGTCTTGGATACCCTGGAGTTCTACCAAGTTTTGCCATCGCGTGAGTTCTGCTGAGGACCGGCACAGCCAGTTTTGCCAACAACACTGGCACTGAAAACTATTTTGAATTGACGCGGAAAAACTCTGGATCCTGATATTTATGATCATGCACAGCAACAGTATCGCTTTAGACCTAGTAGGAAAGACTCACTGGTACTGTGCGTGACGGAAAGTATAGTAAGGTATTGTTCCATACCGCATGTACTGTCTAACATAGGGCCTCGCCCCCACGGACAATAAACAAGGATCCAAAAAAAAAAAAAAAGGTATTGTTCCAGGTTCCTTCCGAACTTGAAGAACGGGGTATCAAAAGTTGATTATTACTAGTAGTACTATAGTCAAGTCACGGCCGACACAGGTAAGTTTCCTTTCGCCGAGATCCTGATCACTGTCTGGAATAACAGGGTCCTTCAAAGGCACTTCTGCAGACTCGGACCGTCGCTACTCTGACGAAGCTATTGATGTGAAATTTCCACCAGAGTTTGATAAAAAGGTGCTTCAGGTAATTACATAACTCCTATCTCGTTCCTCAGGTGGACCTCAAAAAAGTAAATCTCAATATCATACGCCCATGAATCACCATCAAAAAAGTCATAGAACCCGTTGGCTTTGAAGATGAAGTGGTCATCGAGTATGCCATGGGTCTCCTCGACGACCCAAATCACACCGTAAGCTTTTTTACGCGTTCAAGACTTCTCCGTGTCCATTGTATTTTCCTTTAGACCCCAGACCCAAAGAAAACGCAAATAAATCTGACAGGTTTCCTCACGGCATCAACGCCCTCGTTCATTACTACTCTCTGGTCTCTACTGCTGGAGGCTCAGGAGCGTCCCGCAGGTGTGCCACAAACGTTTGTGGAGAATAAAGAGGAAGTGTGCAAAGCCCGCGAGGGCAACGTGTATGCCATAGGCGAGAGAGACAGGAGGATCCAAGAGATTTAAGATGGCTATGGTACTCACCACATATGTACACAACTCAGTCGTTCACGCAAGACGTCAGAGTACCGCGTCAATCGGGGAGCTCCTCGATATCGATGAGCCCTCCCAGTCGTATTCACAATATGATAAAGTGGTGCTAGAACGGTACTACAATTGCAACACACATAATGCAGACTATAGAAACGTGATATCAAGACTAAAAGGAAGAAACAGTATGCAAGTGAACACGAACGGGGAAAGAAAAACGCGTGTAACACTGGTCAGTATCAATGGCACATACGTACAAAAATCGAGACTCGGCAGAAAGCGCCTATTGCGCATTCACCTACTGCCAGTATTGGCGACTCGGCTGGTATGGGTAGAAATTACCTTCTGAATTACCCTGCACCTGCGGGTATTGTCCTCGCACACCACGGCCTGCAGGTTGCTGTTGCACACCAACCCCTTGCGCTGAATCTTTGCGATAAGAAGCCTCAGGCGACCCGCTCTGTGCAGCTACTCCGCGACCCAAAAACCCTTGACCGTGTCCGTACAATTGCCTCTCACTGGGTGTATGGTGATTGCTTTGTGTCTGCTGTTGCGGGGGCTGGTGGTACCCGATTTCATCTGCATACCCGCCAAATCCGCGCTGCACGCCCGCACCCATACTCAACCCGTCATTCTGTTTTGCGGGCTGGTGTTGGTGCTGGAACATCGCCGGTGGTGTAGGAGCAGGGTACTTGACGAAGGGCGTAGGGTAACCTTGGTTGTAGGGACTGCCATAGTACTGGTTTTGAGGATACGGATAATAGTAGGGCATTGGCGGTGCGTAGGGTTGCTGTGCGCTTGCGGCGGCAGGCTGCGACGACTGAGACGTAGACGGAGGGATGACGGACGAGGGGGGTTGCGAATGTTGGTGCTGGTGTTGGGAAGTAGGAAGACCCTTGACATCATCGTGACCTAGGACATTGCGATTGCCGCCAAACCCTGGAGATTGCGCATAGGATTCGTAAAAGCCCTGCTGCACTTAAACATCAGAACACAAGTACAACAAGCCGGAACAGTGTACTGACGCGTTGATTATCACCGTAGTATTCACTACCTCCAAAGCCACTAAGGTGATTCCCTTGTGATTGGTGTTGCTGATGCTGCGTCCCAATCTGTCCAAAAGGACCCATACCACCACTCATGGATGCACTGTAATCCTGCTGTTGAGGAGGCGTTGGTGCATTGAAATATGGTGCATCTTGCCGGAAATAGGCCGCAGACTGGGCCTGCACCTGCTGGGCAGGGCTGTATTGTTGAGACTGTGTTTGCGGGCTGTCTAGGTGCAAGTGAGCGGCATACGGCTGAAGCTGGGGTAATTGCTGAGGTTGATGCTGGGGTTGATGCTGAGGTTGGTGTTGAGGCTGGTGTTGAGGTTGGTGTTGCGGCTGGTGCTGGTGTTGATGCTGAGGCTGGTGCTGCGGTTGTGAGGGAGGCTGCTGAGTGAAGCTGGTGCTCGACGGCGGAAGGGTAGGAAGGGACATTGAGGGTGCAAGAGTATGCTGAGGTACCTGCGGGATTGGTGCTGTAGGTTGGGGAGGTACAAATTGCGTTGTTTGTGAAGGGGGAAGGACAGGCTGCACTGGGGAAGGGAGAACAGGCTGCGAGGGAGAAGTAGCGATAGAGGTAGCAACGGACGGTGCAGGTGCGGGAGTGCTCTGTTGAAGTTCTTGTTGTTGCACGGGTGCAGGAGGTGCAGGAGGCGCAAGAGGTGAGAGTGGCTGAGTGGCCTGCTGTGGGGATGGCGGCTGTTCAGCTACGGGAGGTTCGACGCTAACCGAAATATATCAGTTTATGATCTTCATATCAGTTCTTGATTTTAACTCACGGCGTCGGCTCAATGGCATCCCCACCAAGACTCAAACTTCCAAATTGCATGCCCACTTTCTCAAGGCCAGGGGTGAAAACAGTCGACAATGGCATGACAACAGCTTGATCGATGCCCTTGTACTTGCCACGAACCGCAGGGCGGGAAGAAAGAGACACAGGCGATTTGGACCGAGTGGGGGCATCCTGCTTTTGAATTTGGGTTGGAAGAGCCGACACGACGACCACAGGCTCGGGTGCGGAAGCAGCGGGCTCCTCTTGTACAGTCGGGGGCTCTGGTACCGGTTCTGGTTCCGACGTTGACAGAGGTTGAGAAGAAATCCAAACGTCTGCAGGAGGTTGATGTTGGGTTTGGGGTTGAAGTTGAGGCTCATCATCCCACTCAGGAGGCTGAACAGTTGTCGGATCCTCCCGACCTTCCGATACTGGTTCTGCATCGCCATTAACAGATGGTGGAAGAGGATCGTGTTCAAAGACTGGTTCAGGTGCAGGAGTGGCGACTGCTGGCGCAGGAAGTGCAGGAGGTGACGCTGCGACGAGTTTCTCTTGTGGTCTGTACGCAAGCAATGATTAGTTGTGGAATACCAAATTGAATTCTTAAACGATGCCCACTTTGCAATTTGAGCCCAGGAAAGTTTGGAAGTCGCCGGAAATTTAGCAGATGATATAGGAGGTTTGGACACAGCAGCCACGTTACCCCATCCAGTATTAGCACCCCACGAAGCAGATATTGTGGGCTGCAATTGGGCAGAAGTCGATTCAGCAATTGTAGGCTCCGAAGGCCAGGTCATAGCTGTAGTCGATTCATTTGCGTCCTGTGTAACACCCCAACCTTCATTTGACTCTGGTTTATCAACAGCATGTTCAGTGAGATCCTCAACCTGTACTGCTGGTTTGTCTTCGGAAGCGGGGACATGAGCTTTGGCACGAGAGGAAGGATGACCATTGACTGGTGCACCCCGTGCGCCACCACGACCACGACCACCGCCTCTACCAGGACCGCCGCGTCCCCCGCGCCCACCTCGACCGCCGCGCGAGTCACTACGTGAGATGCTTGGGTCCTTTGACGGTGCGTGCTGAGCTACAGGAGTCTTTTTGTCCTTTTTGCGCGTAACTGAGCCCCATTGTTCCGCGTGCCCTATGGGTCGTTACGGAATTAACAAAACCATGACAAGAAAAATGCAAAAACAAATACGACATGCCTTCGCTGATTCGAATCACTGCAAGATCGAGATCACCACCGACCTCATTGAGGAGAGACTGGAGATCTGAAAGTATGGAGAATTAACGAACGTCATGTTGCAAAATAAGGACGCACCTTCATTTGACCAGGTAGGGAATAATTCTTGGAGTGTTTGAACTTGAGGGTGAAATTTTGATTCCGAAGAATCAGAGAGCAGTTTGTTTCTGAACGCGGCTGATTTATATGAAGACATATTCAACAAGGACGACGACGAGACTGACTAGCAAAAGGCAAGAAGGACTACAGTGGAGTTTGAAAATTCTAAATTATCGGTCACAACATCCAGTAAGAAAACCACCTAGAGAGGGGTCATCATGATGCGACACTTAGTAATATCCAAATCACATTCAGACTCTCCTACAAGCAAATCGTGCGTGCCTCTCGAGTCTTTTAGTACTGGTAGCAATTTGGTGCTGACTGTGGTGATTAGTAGGGTATTGTTGGAGCCATGGAGGTAGGGCGAGAACAAGTCAATTAATGTCGGGCACCCCACCGGTAGCACCCCACAGTGTGGATCTGTCCTGTTGAGTGTCGAACGTTGGTGTCGATGCTAGAGTGTTCGTCTTCCATTGGTGAATAGATTCACGCTAGTAGCAGGAACTGTCTCCTCTGGCTTAGATGGGCATGCCTCAGCGTCGTGGTGAGCCATACATTGATGGTGCGGACACGACGCCAAAGCCCGCTAATAAATTCTATAATATGATAGGATGAACTATACTAGCCAGATGAATTGCAAGCGAGTCCCCATTCGCATGTCGGACACGGTGTCAAAAATCGCTGATATACGTTTCCGAATCACTGATATGATAGGATGAACTGTGCTAGCAAATTCAGCTGTAAGCGAGTCCCCATTCGCATGTCCATCAGAATGGTTGTTTGGGTGAAAGTACCCTGCGATGTGGTATGACTGTTGTAGTTCTTCCACGGCTAGAAATGATAAGCCGTAACCGTTGCATGCCAGCAATACTTCATATCTTGGTACAGGTGGCACATCAATTAGGAGGAGGTGCTTAAAAGTCACTCTTCATCCAAATGCACCGCAACTTACGATGAGTTCCCTCCAATCCTTCTTTGCATTCATCCCACTCCAACAACCTGACCCTGTCAACACGCAGCTGGTCTTCAGTGCTGCGGCTTGTCTTACTGTAGTGGGAGTAACTTTTTGGGCTTACCGTCCTAAATCAAAGAGTGGCCTTCCTCTTCCACCTTCCCCTCCCACTTGGAGACTTCGAGGGCACGTCCTGCCACCTCGCAAGTAAAATGTCCAATTTGAGTCATCGAGTTTTGAATGCTGATTGTGTCCTATCTCCGGCAAGACCATTCCTCACCATAGCAGAATGGATTGACGAGTACGGTCCTCTGATTACTATCCGATCAAAATTAGAGCGGATCATTATTATCGGGCGTTACAGAGTCAGTCCCTGTACGCTGCGTTGTCATATTCTGGCTCAATAACATTTTTTTCAGGCCGCCGTGGAAATTATGGAGAATCAGGGCAAATTTCTAGCTGATCGTCCCCCCATGATTGCTGCTGGCGAAATGTTTAGCGGCGGAATGAGTATTGCCTTTATACCCTTCGTGGACCGGTTACGTCGCATGCGTAGGTTAGTAATCTGCGATACATCCCCTCATCCATCTTACCTTTCAACGTGATGCAGAGCACTTCATTCTCATCTCCAACCTAAAGCAGCTGAGGCCTATCAGCCACTGCAGATGTCACATGCGAAGAACATAGTTCTTGGCGTTCTTGATAATCCACACAACTTCCGGCACCATGTGGTAACGTAAGCACTGTCAACCATGACAGTATCAGTACTTTGCTTACGGGTACTTTGAAGTTATGCTGCATCTATAATTTTGAAAGTAACATACGGGAAGAATACGCCCACGTCTGCGGCTGATCCTGAAGTCATTGAGAGGCTTCAAATGATGGGAAAGGTTACTGAAATCCAGCGTCCTGGTGCTTACCTGGTGGAGTCGATCCCGTGGCTCAAATACCTCCCTTGGTATGGCCGAGAGTTGAGACTGTTGTTTGAGAGGAGGAAAACAGTCTACCTTGGTCAGTTAAATCGCGTGAGGGAGCATATGGTATACATTTCCTTTCGAATCTCGACTTCATGTCTGAGTTGTTCCACAGCAGAGCGACGTGGACATCGGCCCTTCGTTCATGAAACATATGCTGGAAAATGACCAATCCCATGGTTTGACAGAGACCGAGGTGGCCTTTCTCGGTGGTGCCCTCTTTGGAGCTGGATTAGACACAGTGAGGTGTTTTGTTGTCTCCAAAGATATGCGACTAAAATAAGAGGCGACAGACTTCTATCTCGATATGCACGGTGCTCATGGCAGCCTCATGTTTCCCTGATGAGCAAGCCAAAGTTCAGGCCGAGCTCGACACAGTCATCGGAAGGCACCGAGGTAGCTAGATTGGTTTCCGTATTGCAGTCCCATGGATTCAATAATTTCCGCACTAAAGCGCCGACCTTTGCCGACCAAGGGTCCCTTCCCTGCCTGCAAGCGTTCATCTCTGAGGCTTTGAGATGGCGACCTGTGGCTTCTGCTGGTGGGCATATTTGTTTTCATTTTGTGCCTTGGTGTTACAACATTCACGCTGCAGGAATGGCTCACCGAACAACCGAGGACGTGATTTGGGTAAGTGATCTTTGAACAACCAATCGCGCAAATGATGATTTGGTCTATCAGGAAAACTATTGTATTCCAGCTGGGACTACGGTGTTCGGCAACCATTGGTAAGCACCATCCTTCAAGAAATGAAGGGTCTAATGGTCACCGCCCAGGTCTATCTCTCGGGATCCAGATGTCTATCCGGAGCCTTATGCGTTCAAGCCTCAACGCTGGATTGACGATAAAGGTAGCCTAAGAGATGATTTAAAATTCTTTGCCTACGGCTTTGGTCGACGGTCAGTACTGTCCCCCAGCCATCCGTTTTTTGAATGACATTCCTCCCAGCGTATGCCCCGGTCAACATGTCGCGAATAGGTAAAGTTATTTCGCACGCATGCAGTCTTCCAAACTCATTTTAGTTGGTACAGATCGGTGTTCATAACCACCCTCCTTATTCTTTGGGCCTACAAGCTCACTCTGGATCCTACGAAGCCACTAGAGGACACGGGGTTCATGAGCGGGACGATGCCAAATGTCCTGCCATGCACATTTGAGTTTGAGAAGAGGATTCCGGAAACAGAACTTAGGAGCATGATGCAGTATTATCCTGAGGTCGCATGAGAAGCTTTGATGTCTAGATGCGTCATGGAGAAGAACAACTTCCCAACACACTCACAATATGTTTTGATTTGCTTGAGCTGATTCCGGATTGTGTATTGCATTCTCCATTCTATCTATAAGAGCTAGACAAGCATCAGACATCAGTCGTGATGGAACAGGCTGTTATGATGTGCCTAGACACAGTGTTGGCCTGCGAGTATCTGTCAGTGTCTATAGACGTCTTTGTGCCCTGCTTCCAAAACACGATCCATCGGTTTTCTATGACACCAAGTAGCGGTTAAGAGTGATTGATCGCGATAAACGATAAATAATAAGTAGGGTGACTCAGTAGCTTTCGTAAACTTCGGTAAAGCTCGCTAGGGCCGGTTAGAGCTTACAAGAGATGCCACCCAGAACATGCATGTAGGACACACGTGGCAGGCTTCCATCACAAAAATTGCATGACCAAGATATGGCAATATATGGTTATGTTTTCGGTGCCTACAATGTCAGCAGTGTCGAGTCCAAGGCCCAGTATATCTTGCAACACTAGGGAACTGGAAAATCCGACGGACAAGTACTTGTACGTCGTAGATGAGGATGCCAATCAGTAAAATACCACGTGACTTAAGCTACCTTAATCAGCTTAATTGTACATGGTGTTAATTGGTTCTGTTGACATGTTATCAGGCACGACAAGAAATACATTTAGTTCTACAATTACAAAGTATACAGAGAGAGTGCAAGATAACATCAGAGCAACACAATAACAAAAAGGAACAGCAAAGAAATATAATCTAAATTAAGTTGGCTTTAATAGGAGCAGGTAAGGCCTGCAAAACATCCAGACTGGCAATGGAATCCTCATCTTCCATGTCCCTGAAACGGCGATGGTGGCAGGGCAGCCAAGGAGTGTTACTGTTGTAGTGCTGCTGCAGTCTGGTCCCAAACCCTGGTTCGAACCCAGACCCATCCAGACTGGACCAGTGGTTTGGTCACAGGTTTGGTCTCTCTCCTGGACTGAACCCCCTAACAGGTTCAGGGTTTGGTGTCATCACTGAAAAATGCAGACTGGTTCAGATGTGTCTGGACCAGTTCGAACCTGCACCACACACACAATTCCAGCTGTGTGTTTTTCATGAGGCTTCCTGTCAGTTTAAGTAGTGCACTCACCATTTTCTGTTCCTTCTCTTCTACTAACAGTAGCATTCCCAACATTGTGCTAGCAACAAGGGTGCCTTTTCAGCTATGCAACAACTTGAAGCACCAGTACTATGTTCACCATCTCTCATGTTTGATAAATTGCTAACTTCTAATGTTTTTTCTTTCAGAATATACCTACTACTGTGGTGATTCCCAGGTTTTCCACCAAGTTTGCACAATGGATTGTCATTTTGGAACTCAAAGGTGCGCAATATTTTTTTATTTAGTTCAAGATATGTATTCACTTGTGGTATAGGTTTGACATTCGCACTCCCTGCTGCAACTATGCTCGAGTTGTCTGCACCAGCCCATCATCCTGATGGTTCATTGAAAAGTGCTGAAGAGATGGAGTAGATCAATGACCCAGATGATGAAACTACCATCCTCCTTTCCCCTCCTGCATCCAATGGCACTCTCAATTCTTTCATTTGTCATTCAGGCTGTGCCATCACATCACAGTAGTACTCCCTCACAGGCTCCTGCAGAGCCATCTGTTACTGTGCCTCCCTTGCTTGCTCGCCAAGGCTTGTATGGCCATAATTGGATGAGAAGCTCTGTCAAATTGTGTGTCATGAATGACACAACCACACAAAGGCCTTGTCAAGAACTTGAGGACTATCTAGATGCACCGCTCAAGGACATCAACAATGTGGTGGCCTGGTGGGGTGTATGTCTTGTTATTTTCTTTGTGTTGCTTGCATACTAACATGATCAGAAACTTTCAAGCACCATTCTATACAATACCCGACTATCTCCTGCATCACAAAGGATTACCTCGCCATTCAGGGATCAGCTATTGTGTCTGAGAGAGCATTTTTGAGCAGCGGTGTTACTGGGACTGTGCATCACAGCTGTTTGAAGCCAACAACACTTGAGGCTCTTTAATTGCTCAAGAGTGCATACCATCAAGGTCATATCTCTGCAACAGCCCAGGCTGAATTTTTCACTCCTTATGATAACCACATCATGAATGAAGAGTTCTAGTAGCTATTCATATTGTACATGTCATTTTCATTTTGATTGTTTTGCTAATTACAGTGGCTCAAAAAACTGTCTGCATGTTTTGACATTTTTCACTATCTATAATATTGTGTGAGAACGAACAAATGGCTCAAGGACATGGTTATAGCACATTGTAGTATGGCTTCAGGGCTTTCATTTGAGCCTTACACCGTGGGAATCGGTGGAGATATGGTGGAGATACAAGGCTCACAAAATGGTGACTCATGCAGACAGTTTTTTGACTCAAGTATTTTACAATAATAACTAGGTATTCTAGTATTTTGTATGGCCTCCCTTGGCTTTAATTACTGCCTCTATCCTTCTAGGCATACTCTCAATTAATTTCTGGCAATCCTCAGCTGTGATCTTCCCCCATTCCACTGCTACTCTCTCCCAAAGCTTCCATACTCCTTTAGGGGGGTTTTCATAGGCTTGAAGCTTTTTCTTGAGTGTTCCCCAGAGATGTTCAATGACATTGACATCAGGAGACTGTGCTGGCCAGTCAAGAACATTGATGTTATGTTCTTCAAACCATTCCTTAGCTCTTCTGGATGTGTGCTTGGGATCATTATCCTGTTGGAAAATGATATCTTTTTCATCAATCCCTGATTCTGATTCTGCCAAGCTAGGCAGCAAGTGGTCATTTAAAATGTCCACATACTGCTCAGCATTCATCTTCCCCTCAACCTCAGCAAGCATTCCCACACCATTCCATCCCATACAGCCCCATACCATTAAAGAACCTCCTCCAAACTTGACAGTCCCATTAACCTCTCTGTCTGTTAGGCCATCTCCCTTCTTTTTCCATACATATACCTTCCCATCTGACCCAATCCTATTGATTTTGGTCTCATCTGACCATATAACATGCTTCATGCTTCCAGTCCTCTACAGTCCAGTGTTGATGAGCTAAGACAAAGGCTAGTCTTCTCTGCCTATGTTTGATGAAGAGAAGAGGCTTTTTCTTCTTTGTTACTGCCTTGAGATGAGCTGCCTTGAGAACATTCCTCACAGTTTGTGAAGAGACAGGGGTAGTCATGGTGGAATTGATATAATGGGTGGCTTGGACAGCATTATCAGCCTTTCCTGTAGTGATATGTTGGATAATAGCCCTTTTGTCAGTAGAGGTAAGCTTGGATGGATGTCCTCCACAAGAGTTTTCCTTGTCTGGGTGGCTTTCTTTGATAAACTTGGCCACAGTGGACTTGCATACTCCAGTTCTAGAGGAAATTTGGCCAGCAGAGAGGCCAGCATAAGACAGAGAGAGGATATTATCTCTTTGAGCAGAGGAGATGGCTTTCATGGTGATTATGACTATGATACATGAGATATTCTGGTTTATATAGTTAGATATAGTCATAAAATAACATAATGACACCACTTCATAATTTATATATTGTCATAAATAATGATTTATATAGTTTTAATATACACTCAAAAAACTGTCCACATGAGTCATCATTTTATAAGCCTTATGTCTCCACCATATCTCCACCAATTCCCACAGTGTAGGGCTCAAATGAAAGCCCTGAAGCCATACTACAATGTGCTATAAGCATGTCCTTGAGCCGTTTGTTTGTTCAAACACAATATCCTAGATAGTGAAAAATGTCAAAACATGCAGACAGTTTTTTGAGCCACTGTATAATACTGATGTCTAAAAACAGTGAAATCATTGATCAGTACATAAGTGAGTGATGCAGACATGAGCTACTACCTGTGCTGGAATATTGGTTCCTTAAAGTCAACAACAACAGGTGAACCTGTTAACATGCCTTTATAAGCACATTCTCCCTAGCAAAGGTCATGTATTAGCAACATATGACAATGAGGAAAGATAGTTACCACAGTAGCTAGTAGAGCTATGAGATTGTTGGGAAGTTTCTGGAAGCATTCCATATATGCTATGCCCTCAGATCCTGGTCCTTGGAAAAATTGACTATAAAGAAGCTGACACAGCAGTGATGCTCTGAAAGGCAGATTCTTGTTGAATGTCTTGGCCTACAGATATCAATTAGTATTGTACCCTTGTTGCAAAGATAGACTTACATACTTTGAGGTCCAATTCACTGCAGAAAAATGGGTCCTTCTTGGTAGTAAGAAGCCAGTTGGTGATATCACCTGATACCAATCAGTGAAATACTCAAAATGAATGATATAAAAAAAAGATACCAATTTCCTTAGGATGCATTTGCTGTAACTGAAATATCACAGTATCTCTCACCTTTCTAACCAGCTCTCCCCTCAACTGGCTAGCACCAGGCCACACCTAACAAGAATATTAGTGTCATGTCTCAAATAGATTACAATACCTACATAAGCTATGGCCCTGCTTTTTAGAACATCGTTGCTGCCAATCATATCAAGCATGGGCTTCAAGGGTGAGCCTGGATCCTTGGCTGCTTCCTTGATGCAGTCCCATGTGAACGAATCTTAGACATCTACTGAAGGTCCAGGAAAAGCAACCTCCAAAGCAACTTTGATTTGAAGGAGCTAGTGAGTGAGATCAACCAAGGGTCCACATTCATCCTTCTTCAATGAAGCTAGAGTAGTTAGTGGTTTGACATTGCCTTTGGGGACACATTTCCTCCTGAGATGATCTGTGGTGTTGTCTGTGGACTCATCCTTGACCTGAATAAGCTAGATATGTTATAGTAGGTTAGGCTCAATGTTTTGCAGATAAAGTTACATACCCCATTAGTTCTCCTAACTTCTGTGGTTGCAGTAGAATTACTATTGTCCCCCTCTTCACCACTACTATCTGCCAGTGTTCGATTGTTGACTTCAACATCTGATTCTAATATATAATTAGCACTGTATACACACACAAACACTGACCAACCATCAAGAGCTGCTACAGGTGTTTTCATTTTGGTGGGGCCAAGCAGGGGCAAAATATCAGATAGATTGGCATCATCCTCTATGTCCACACCCTCCATTGTAGGCACTGCTGCAACTGAGTGCATTCTTGTTACTGTAAAGTACACATCATTGTTTCTGCCCCTAGTATAAATGAGAAAGTGCACCTCTTTTTCTCTTTTTGTCTGTTAAGACCTCCTGCTCAATGTCACTCTTTTCATCCATAAAGGTATCAACTTTCTTCCTGACATCTATAACATAAACATTTATTAGAGTATTTTCCATTCATTATAATTCTGTTTAACATACCTTCTTTATGACTGCATTCTGCTTCCTTCTTCTTCTGTGCTTGAAATTTCAAGAATTCTTCATATTGCTCATCTGGGACCTGTAATGTTGAAGCAGCTTTCTTTTGTCCTCTGGTTTTGGATACAGGGGGTGGAGGTGTGGGTGACTTTGCTCTCTTGCTTTTGGCCTTGTGAGACATTGTAATATAGAGATGTAGTAGTGAAACCAATGAGGTCATCAGAAGGGAATGAGGTGAATTAAAGCTGCCTTTAAAACTCACTTACTCAGCAGCCAGGCACCACCTTAGTAATTGACAACTGTGTCATATGCCATTCTGGACTCTCAACTCTAAATCCGCTTCTCCGGATATCTGGATCCAAGATCCAGATCTCAAATGATCTGATCTATCTTTATCTCCCTTCCAGAATCCAAACCCTATATCAGCGCCCAACCCCATTTAGACTGCCCCTGTCTCCAGACTCTGGTTAACCATGTTTCCCTTTTGATTATTGATCCATTACATACATTTCATTTCCGGTGTTCATTATTTGTGATCTGTCCTACTTACTAATAGACTCTGCATATGCTTTGTACATAGCCTTTATGTTTGCTGACTGATTCCTATATGATACCTACAGTATATAAACCTCCTGTAACTCTCAGAAATACTCCAGTTCAAATATCATCTTAGTTCCTGCTCATTCCTGTGTCCTCCAGACTTGAGATAAGTCTCTTGTCATATTCCGAGTCTTAGGATTGCATCCTAGACTACATTTCTGACTCTACCTTAAAGGTAGTCCATCCTCTGTTAGTTTCTAGTCCAGACTTCGTCCGGATTAGCCTTATCCACTTGCCCAGGTAACATCCAGACGTCCGTCGGATTTATCTCATGTTTCAGATCCGGACATCCGTTATCCACCCTAGTCAAATCCCGGAAACTCCAGACAACTGTTCTAGCCCCTGGAAATTAAGGGCACATACTCGGGAAAGGGGCACAGCAGTACAAGCTGAGGCCAAGCCCTTGTGATCCGACCCTCTTGAGCACACGACCTTAACAAACTGTAAGAATACGCATCATATGAAAGGATGCATGGTCTCATTGTCTACCCAGCCATTGCAATCCCTAAGCCAGGCTGCAAACTCCTTGTCAGTCTGAAAGACAAGAGATGCCCTTGCTCCCCTGTAATCCAAGTTGAAATGCATCACCTCACTAGATCTAAAGAGAGCCACATCTCCAGCCTGCGACTCAAGGACAAGTCCATTCTCCAGTAGGCACAAGGCCCTGCCTTCAAAATGACCAATGGGAATGACAAGACATAGATGGCGATCCAGGCTGTCTCTATGGGCTTTGGTGCACACATTGATATTGTTGACCAAAGATACAAAGGGTTGCAACAGGGGGAGAGCAGTTTCCAGGCAAGACTGCTATTGTCTTAATAACTGAGGGTCCTATATAAATGTGTGTAAAATTAATGACACCACAATTACACTAGGATAAGACTTCTTGCTGGTCCTCAATTAACACGGTCTATGACTTTTTCTTCTTTCATGGTAGATAACATGTGAGTTCTTGGGAGGCTTGCTAAACCAATCTATGTGATTAACTTAGCTGGAGCTTTATGTTTTATCCCAACTTATAAACTTGTCTAGGATAAACTATCTAGACACTGGAACATGGTTCCTTGTTAAGATAATTCTCTGTAGAGACAATGGTCTCAAATACAAATATGTTGACCAAAAACTGGTTGGTCAAATAGGCACAAAGTGGTGAGAAACTGGTCTCACAAATGAACAGATTGACCAAAGCTTGTGTTGGTCAATATTAGAAAACTAGGTGAGAAGCAGGTCTTACAAACAAACAGATTGACCAAAGCTCATGTTGGTCAATATCAGAAAACTACATAGGTGAGAAGCTGGTCTCAAATAAACTAAGTTTCTATCATAAGAAACTTATGTAATCTCAAGGGAATGTCTTTTCCCTGCACTTGGTACTTCAAAGGGGCTTTCTTTGTAAGCAACAATCTTCACAGTGAGTAGCTCAGACTGAGATTCAAATGATTGCAAGTGGGATATCCTATTTTTTTGGGGGGGAGAATGGGCCCTCCTTATATACATTTTGTGTGGGAATATTATGTAAGTAAAAAAGCGGAGCAATGACATCAGAAGTGGAGCAGAATATTCCAGAAAGTGGAGCAGAGTGTTCCAGAATATTCCATAGGTGGAGTAATGACATCAGAGGTGAGTCATTGTGGAGCAGAACATTCCAGAACAAATGACATCATTATGACATCATACCCTGTAGGTACAATTTGTGAAGTATCTGATGGGTCAGAGCATTCCAATAGAAAAATAAATCAAGGAAATACTAGAGAAAACAACTCAGAAATAATAATACAATAACAAGACACAAAACACAGGCTTTTTAGATAGGTTTTTGTTAGGCTTTGAACTTTTCTCTATGGTTTTCTCTAGCCAAAGTGAATAAGCCAAAGGCAAGGCAATACCTTAACCTTCTTATTGCTTCACAATATCAACTAGGTCATTATGTGATTCCCATCTCACAAATGACTTTTCTTCAAGATATAATAAATTCATGAATCACAGAGGGGAAACTGAACTATTTGACCAAGGTTTGAAACCAAGGTATGGGTTGACTAGCCTGATGCCTAAGCTAACAGACTTTGTCTTTTAGGGGGCTACCTAGTAGTCATGTCCATGCATGATTCCCAAATCATGCAGGACACTGTGACTTCCATCAGCAGCTCAAATTCCTTCTGCAGATAGGTCTCCATCTACCAATGTGAATATAAATGTCAAGAATAAAAATGGCATGATGATGCACCAATTTTCAAACCCACTCAAACAACTCTTCATATAACTTTGAAATCATACTATAGATGCAACAGTGTTCATGCAAATCTTTGGATAGGTAGGGGATTACCTGCAAGTGATTGGTGTGCATGCCTTCTTTTTCTAATGCCCATGGTTGGACATCTGTTGGAGCCTCGTGACCCTGTTTCATTATTAGCGTATACCATAAGTTGAGTGTCCAAAAAAGGTTGCTCACTGAGGTACAGTGTCTGTTGTACCAAGACATGTGCATTGCTTGAAAGGGTTGACACCCGGGCAATTGAGTGTCAGTCTCCCATAGTAGGTCCAGATTTTCCAATGCTGCCAAAAGATTCACCTCAAGAGTAGATTATATATGAGCCAGGAGTGCCATTGACACAAAAGCCATGAGTGAACTGTCTGCATTTCGTAGCTCCAAATGATGACTGCTGAGATCAATTTGAAAAGTACAACTGCAGGAATATGAACACACTTTGGTATAATATGCATTGGAATGCACAAGTATGTGTCCTGCATTATCTTGATGCCATTGTGGTAAAGTTTTGCAAGCTATACAACCAGGGAGTGATCATTAGCTTAGTAGAACAATGTATAGCTACATACACACACCTTCATTTTCAAACCTTTGATGCTTCTCACTCACTCCCCTGCTTCAGCATGAGACCTTTCTGTTGTGCTCCAGATAATGTTATCCACTTTGTTCCAGGGTGCCTTAAAGTGCTGGTTCTCAGGTGACAATGGATTGTAAGAAGTCTTGATTATGATGTGCTCAACTTCGTCCTCCTCTACATCAGACAGTGGTGGACTGTAAGGGTGACTTGAGCCATAGAATTCCTCGTTGTTGAAAGTGTGTACTGGAACTTGGCCAGAATCGCTTGGCACAGGCATAATGCATGACCTCCAAACATGCTGGTTTCTTTGGAGGGGAATGAATGCACTTAAAGATAACAAAGTCAGTTCATGCCAGTGTCATTGCAATGTCTAACACTCACTTTTGCATTATAGCATCAAAGAAACAGTCAGACACTGAGGTCAGTGCAGTCAACTGACTTTGACACTGCAAATCTAGCAATTAGCAAAGGAGAGAACATTGTGTCCATGGCAAGTGGGGACATGAGATGCATGTGAGCAATTGTGGGTGCTATGTATTCCATGATAAGTTTTCTTTCAGGAGAATCTGTGCAATAAACTTATGTTACTGAAATTTTACAGCACAAATCAGAAGAACAACTTACTTGGTGGTAGCAAATGTAGCATATTTGCTAAATTCAAGTGCATAGTCCCTACCATAGATGCAACAGCAACCATGAGCCCCAGATTGGCGATAAGTACCAAGGAATAAATGGAACCACTGCAGGCGATGGCAATGAACCTGCAGCCAATTGTGTGCCATTCTGCAAAGGTTTGGTAAGAGATTGCCCTAACCAAGGCATTTGGTTTGATTTCTTTCTTGTATATGTCTGTTAAGCAAAGACCAGTCTTGAGGCATATGCTATCAAGAAGAACTGTTTGAACCAGTTGGAACACAGAAAGGTTTAGGATACATACCTTTGGCACTTGCAGACAAGAGTCATGTAGTTCACCATGACCAGGAAGTTAATGTGGACATCCTTACTCACAATCCCTCGACATCTCACAACAACAGAAATTAGTGACTCATCTTCTACCAACAGTATTTGCACATGGTTAGCGATATCTTGCAACCAGTTGAGAGGATTGTTGGCAGATAAGTGACAGTGTGCAGATTATTATGAACTAGGATGGTCATAACAACAGCAGCTCGTTAAGAGCAATGGCTGAAGTTATAGTCAAGACCTTGCAAATGCAAGGGTCATAAGACAAGATGAAGAGAGTGTCTTTGGCTTGAATATCGGTTCAGACAACTTAGGATTGGAAGTCCTAAGTAAGAGAATGTTCAGGTAAAAACCTAGTAAGATTAAAGTGAAGAACTACTGAGTACATCATTGACTATATATAGGATTGTAGACAATTTAGGGCAGGCATAAGTCAACAATGAGTCATCTAGCAATGGCAGCAGTGATCATGATGTAATACAAATATCAGAGACAGGTCTAGCAGTGGCATCATGCGGCTCATGACATAATACAAGGGTAGTAAGGAGAAAATGAATAGGGGTGTATGTAACTGTAACAGTGCAGATGCAAGTTGTGCAATCATTGTTGCTAGGTCCTCACTGCATGTGATCTTGGGGTCATTTGAGGGCCACCAATGCCATAAACCTCACCTGGAATGAGCACCAGCTACCTCCTCTCCATCACTCTCCTCCTCCTCCTCCTTCACTTCATACTCCTTAGGTCCAAAAGGATCATTGCCAAGTCATGCAGCACAATGCTGATGAAGCCATAACCAATGTGTGCCACATTTGCAATTGTCATCAACAAAATTTGGGGGATTGAAAGGAGGCTCAGGCAGTTCCCCTGGTGGCCCAGCATCTGTAAGTGTTGTGGATTTGCATGCTTGCTTGGTAAGGTGTGATAAATCAACATAATCAGGGCCCTCAACTTGGAATCATGCCCTGCAATGGCCAGCCAGTGAGGGAACATCACTAGAAGTTAGTGCCAGTAACAAGTTGCTTGGGACATCAAGAATGTGTGGGAGAGAGAGAGTATCAGGCAGCCCAGGTGTGGGCTTGGGTGTCCATAATTACCCCTGCAAATGAGCTCTAGTGTTTGCAGTGCTTTGATAGGCTAGCCAGAACATGGAACATATGAGTAGTACAACACTCTACCAATAAGAGTTTATATGCATCATCACCCTTGACTATACCATTCATCAAGTCACCTTGACAATGAGCCTCATTAATCAAAAGTTGGTGCAGGCTAAGGAGCACAGGAGGAACATGCACACTGTTTTCCAATACCTGCAACAGACTGTCTGCTGCATCAGTAGTGAGCAGAATTGACAAACTAGAATTGAAAGGGGGCATCAGAGGTACTAACTAGCAGCATGCTGTAGGCACAAGATTCTACCAAGTCCTTTGTTGATGCATTATTTGTATCTAGTCATGTGATGCCTGCATTTGTTCCATTCAGCTGTTTTTCCACTGTGACCATTAGAGCACTGAGCACCCAACTTCCTGTGAGTGTTATTTGTGGTATTCATTTAGGCTGGAGTTCTCCAGAATGATCTGCTCATCCTAGATAGAACAGGCTCTCAGAACACCTCCTTTTCTGTACATTTGATATCTACATGAAATGTGTATGTATTACTTAGGCATTGCAATAGAATAAATTTTCTCAAAATGCCCAAATATTGCCCCTAGCTTAGGGTTGTGATTGCAAGTTGCCCACAATCATGTGGCTCTCCACCAATCAGGGCTCTCCACCAATGAAATACCATGTCACCAGTTTGATCCACCTTCAGGCCTTCCTGTGGACATACATAAGCCTCAGTAAGGCATGCTGCAATGTAGGTTATGCATGTCAACAATGACAGTCTGGTGTTGATTTGGAAAAAGTATCAAGTGTAAGTCTTCTATCAAGGTGCAATAACCCCATGTACTCAACTTCATTCAATTATGATTTCATTGATAACCCTTGTGTCCATGGTTATCCGAACAACCTGTCTCCACCCTTTCTTTGCCCTTTCATTCAATGGCATCATCTGCACCTTTATCCAGCCCAGATTTTGTACATTTGGAACCTAGAAGTTATAACACAGTGAGTCACTCTTTTCTATACCTGTATTGCAACAATCTGACAGGTTGCTTGTGAGGTCCAATCAAGGGGTTTCATTGCAAAGACTGATGAGATGTACCAAAACACAGTTGCCAATCAGGCTTGCAAACTTAGGGCATTTCTAGAGCCCCCAACCAAACCATTGGACCCTGCACACCCATCTGAAGGATTTGTGGCCATGCAGAATGACAACAACAAAGAAGTTATGCACCAAGTCATCAATGAGTTATGTTGTGATGAAGTTATCTTCCAACATTGCAAAACCTCAATGATCCTGCCAAGATTTGGAATGTGAAGGATATTCTCATTGAATTCAATAAAAGAGGGTACCTGGACAATCAAGGTATGAGTGGTGAAGGTCTCTGACTTTTTGATGCTAATTAGATCTGTAGGTCGCTGGTCAGCAAAGATAGATTGTTCAAACCTGAAAGCACCACATGTCACCCACCAAGCTGGTGGCAGAAGCAGCACAGAAGATCTAATGGCCAGATTCATGAATCAAGTAGTGGATGTGGCACTTGAATTGGTGAGCGAATCACTCATTCATCAGACATGGAGTTCAGACTATTGCCAGAAGTATCTCCCTGGATGTGCTGAAGAATGCAAGCCTGACATTATTCTGGTGCCCTATAACCCATTGCAACCTCTTGTCCAGGATTGGCGTCAAGCTGTCTCCTGTGTCAAGATGAAGCAGCACAGTGTCAATGTGCAGAAACAGGAATGGTTTGATGAGACTGCCAAGCACACAAACACAATCTGGGGCTGTTAGGATGCCCATACCTCCATCATAATGTTGCAGTACTTTGGCAAACAGTTTGCATTTTCATTCTTTGATCATAGAGGTGCTGTTTGCCTGGATATGCTAAATACAGTGGCTCAAAAAACTGTCCACATGTTTTTGCATTTTTTACTATTTACAATATTGTGTGAGAATACATAAAGACCTCAGTGACATGCTAATACCATATTGTAGTGCTGCTTCAGGGCTTTGGATTGAGCACCACATTGTGAGAATCAGAGGAGATATGGTGGAGATACAAGGCTTACAAAATCATGACTCATGTGGACAGTTTTTTGAGCACATATTAAAACTATATAAATCATCATTTATGACACCATAACAATCATGCCACCATTAAATAAATTATAAAGTGGTGTCATTATGTCATTTTAAAACCATATCTAACTATACAAACCAAAAATTTCCATATGTCATGGTTAGCCCTCCTATCAGTAGAGGTGAGCTTGGATGGACGCCCTTCACAGAAGTTTTCCTTGTCTGTGTGACTTTCTTTGATGAACTTGGCCACAGTGGACTTGGATACTCCAGTTCTAGAGGAAATTTGACAAGCAGAGAGGCCAGAATAGGAAAGAGAGAGGATATTATCCCTTTGAGCAGGGGGGGTGGCTTTCATAGTGAATATAACCATGACATATGGAAATTTTTGGTTTGTATAGTTAGGTATGATTTTAAAATGACATAATGACACCACTTTATAATTTATTTAATGGTGGCATGATTGTTATGGTGTCATAAATGATGATTTATATAGTTTTAATATGTGCTCAAAAAACTGTCCACATGAGTCATGATTTTGTAAGCCTTGTATCTCCACCATATCTCCTCTGATCCTCACAATGTGGTGCTCAATCCAAAGCCCTGAAGCAGCACTACAATATGGTATTAGCATGTCACTGAGGTCTTTATGTATTCTCACACAATATTGTAAATAGTAAAAAATGCAAAAATATGTGGACAGTTTTTTGAGCCACTGTATAATGGATGATAAGGAGGAATACTTGAGGCTTGTGTTGTACCTATCACTTGCTGATCCTGGTATGTTGTCTGTTCACATTTATATCAACTAGCACTTACAATGCACAATGGCAGGTTGTCATATCCTGTATGCCAGACATAGATCCCATCATATTCCCACGCTTTCCGGACCTATTTCCGGACCCCATATCTGACTCATTCCTGGATCCCCTATCCTGTCCACCCTATGCACATTCCATCCAGCAAGACATCCAGACTTTACCTCCTCTCGGATTCTGGACTACATCCACCACCTCGCATATCTCAGTCCTGTTTCTGCCCTGCTTTCTGGATCTCCAGATCTCCAGACCTCCGGATATTAACTGTTACTATCTCTGGACCTATTCCCACCCTCTATCCAAGATCCTGCGCCTATCCCCATTTAGGCATCTCCGCCTTTCCAGTTCTTGGTTATCTCTGTTTCCATCTTGCTGATTGATCCTTGTACTAGTTTCATCTCCAAGTTCATTTACTTATGTTCCATCTTACTTACCAATGTGTTTTCCACATGCTCATACATAGCCTTACTCTGTTGCTTACTGATCCTTTCAGATATCCTCTAGTATATAACCCCTGTACAATTCCTGTAGAGTCTTCAGTCTGAATATCACCTTAGATCTGCCCAATCACCTTCCAGACTTCAGTCCATCTGAGTATCATCCTTTCTGTAAGGCCTAGGGATGGATTCCCTAGGCTGGAATTCTGGACCTTCAGATTTGTTCCCTGTGTCTCTGTCCCAAGTCTAGGGATTGCTTCCCTAGGCTGGAGTCTTGCCTTTCCAGCACTTATCCTCTCTCCGGACTTTGGTCCACTTCCTGTCTCTCCAACTCTACCTAAGGGTAGTCTACCTCTGTTTGCTTCTACATTGGACTCTGTCTGATGTAACCCCTATTCCTTCTGGACCTCCAGACCTCCTGTCCTGTGCACCTCCTGGGCATCCTGTCCTTTGGATGTTCCACCCTCCATACCTTCGGACATCCTGTCCTCCTAACCCTCAGACATCCTGTCCTCTGGACCTTCAGTCCTCCTGTCCTCCATATCTCTGGATATCCTGTCCTCCTGTCCTCCAGACCTCTGGACATCCTATCCTTCCATCCTGTTTCCTGTAGAAGTACTACCTTGCAGTGGGAACTCTCCTGAGCACTTCCTGCATTTCTCCGGAACTCTCCCACACTCCTCCAGACATTTCCTGCACTCCTCCAGAAGTCCTCTAGCACTCTCCACCAGAGTAGCCAGCCTCCGGAAGTCCTCCAGACTTTGTTGGACCATCATCAGACTTCCTCTGAAATGAAGGGCACATACTCAGGCAAGGGGCACAGTGTACGAGCTGAGGCCAAGCCCCTCTAAGTCAGTCTCTCTCTCCTTTGAGCATGGTTCTTAACAATTCCATATGCTCTCTCTATTCCAGCTCACATGCCCTCTCCCAATACTCCCCCTCAATGTCCTCCTGTTCTACATGCTCCCTCTATTCCAGCTCACACTCCCTCTCCCAATACTAAATGTCCTCCTGTTCCACTTTTTGATGCAGCATCTACTTCCATGGTCTCATCACAGCCAGATGTTCCACATGCTTCCTCCCCACCACCTAATTCATCTCTGCCATCACGTGGAGGGCAGGGAACAGGTAGACCTAAATGCAGGGGACATGGTGGTGGTGGATGCAAATGTACTACTGAAACTATTACTGGGGAGTCACCTTTAACTGCTGCCAGTGGTCAGCCGCCCTCTGATTCAGTCTCTTCTCACCTATGCAAATGCACCCTTACTAGTTCAGCTCAAGATATACCAGCTGATAACCCACTGAAGCAACTTGCTCGCTATGTGCGCAAGGTCCACATCAAGCCCAAAGATGTGGTGCAAAGTCTCCAAGTCAACATTGCAGGCTATGGGTCTCCAACAACGGATGAGGATCTGGAACAATTTGCAGATAAGGGTGGAATCTATGAGTTGACAGTCTGTATTGACAACCATCTTCTTACTCCAATGCTAATTACGTTGTGTGTGTAGGGCACTTGCACTTGGATGGCCATTCAGATGATGCTCACTCAATGACCAGGTACAGATGCCATTCAACATGAGATAGTCCATGATCTGGAGAGCTACTATTATGTCATCCTGACACTTGCCTTCATGTTTGATGGGCTGTACACATTGAAAAAAGTTCCAAACACTGACATGGCAAGTGAGGCAGAGATGTGGCTTCATAGGTGGCTTAAAAATACCATTGAGATGAAGATTTGGCAAGAAGCAGTGGAGAAACAGCACTATCCTGGTACCAATGCAGGGTTTTCTATGGTGGAGGGGCTGTTAGGTGAGGACTGGGCTATCGAGCCCATGAAGACAATGTTGAAGGAGATGAGAGAGCATCTTTTCACTAATGCTGCACCAACCCACTCAGGAATGCTCAACATCATCACCAATGCCCTTGTCAAGATATGTACAAATCCTGATCTTGCCCATCTCTACAAACCTCAGAAAATGACGATGGAGTGGGCAAAGGCAACTGGTGGCAATGGGGTTCCCAGCCACTCTTCCATCCTTCCTGCACTGTGAATGAATTTGCTGTATGTTAAGAACCATGTTGCTCAAGGGAGAGAGAGACTGACTCAGAGGGGCTTGGCCTCAGCTCATACGCTGTGCCCCTTGCCTGAGTATGTGCCCTTCATTTCAGATGAGGTCCGATGATGGTCTGACAAAGTCCAGAGGACTTCCGGAGGCTGGCTATTCTGCTGGAGAGCGCTAGAGGACTTCCAGAGGAGCCCAGGAGAGTTCCGGAGGAATGCAGGAAGTGCTCAGAAGAGTTCCCACTGCAAGGTAATACTTCTACAGGAAACAGGATGGAAGGATAGGAGGTCCGAGGGTCTGGAGGACAGGAGGACAGGAGGGCAGGATGATGGAGGACAGAAGGACAGGATCTCCGAAGGTACAGAGGGCAGGATGTCTGAAGGACAGGAGGACAGGATGTCCGAGGGTTAGGAGGATGGAACGTCCAAAGGTATGGAGGGCAGAATGTCCAAAGGACAGGATGCCCGGAGGTACAAGAGACAGGAGGTCTGGAAGGAATAGGGGCTACATCGGACAAAGTCCAATGTAGAAGCAAACAGAGGTAGACTACCCGAAGGTAGAGTCAGAGAGACAGGAAGTGGACCAAGGTCCAGAAAGAGGGAAAGTGCTGGAAAGGCGGAGCTCTGGCCTAGGGAATCAATCCCTAGGCCTGATGGGTAGGACAGACTTAGGTGGACCAAAGTCCAAGAGAGGATTGGGCAAGTCTAAGTTGATATTCAAACTAGGGAACTACAGGAGTATCTACAGGGGTTATATACTGAACAATATCTGAGGGGATCAGTAAGCAAAGGAGCAGGGCTATGTACGAGCATGTGGAAACACATTAGTAAGTAAGATGGAACATAAGTAAATGAACTCAGAGATGAAGACTCATACAAGGATCAATAAGCAAGACGGAAGAAGAGGTAACTGAAAGCCAGAAAGCAGAGAATGCCTAAATGGGGATAGGTGCAGGATATCGGACAGAGGGTGGGAATAGGTCCGGAGCTAATATCCAGAGGTCCGGAGATCTGGGGATCCGGAAGACAAGGTGGATACAGGACCGGAATACAAGAAGGTGGATATAGTCTGGAATCCAAGACAAGGTGAAGTCTGGATGTCTTGCTGGATGAAGTGTGCATAGGGTGGACAGGATAGGGTTGTATAGATCAGGCTAGCAGTGAGGATCCGGAGGTCTGGAGCTCAGGGGTAAATCCGGAGTGTAGTCGATCTTGCTGAGGTGTGGAGCACAGCGGAAGGGGATCTGGGAATGAGCTGGATATGAAGTGGGGTCTGGATGTAGGCTTGGAAGGCGTGGGAATATGATGGAATGTGGGTCCGGATTGTGGGATATGACACTGTATCATAAGGAGTGTCAAGATCCAGAACTCAATCTCTTTGCATGCATGCCCTGTTCCCTAGTGCAAGAATGCAGGGTTATGCCAGGCACCTCATCACAGGCCAACAAACCCACAGGAGGGAGGACAGCAGATCGCATGAAGGTGATGACAGCACAGCTCTCCCAATACCCAACTCACCTCTGGAGTATATGCAACAAGCCCTAAAGGACTTCCATCATCACAAGGAAGTCATCATCAATTTGAGTATCAGAGATGATCTTAATATTCCAAAATTTCACTCATCACAACACTATCTGGAGAACATCCAGAACTTTGGGACAACAGATAACTACAACACTGAGATGTTTGAAAGATTTCACATTGATTTTTGCAAAGAGGGTTGGTATGCATCTAATGGGAGAAATGAGAAACCTCAGATGATTGCTTGGCTTACAAGAAGGGAGAAGGTTGCATCTTTTCAAAGCTATCTACAGATGATTATGGAGGATGAAGATGACAATTTTCCCACTCCAGATTTCAAGATTAACATATAATCCTCCCCAAACACCCTCATCAGATTCATCACCACATAATTCAACTCAGATCCATCCTCCACTCCATTATATCAGGTTTGGTATGATCTGTCTTCCTGTTAAGAATGAATCCTAAGGGCTTTGGCCTTAGCTCATGCGCTGTGCCCCTTACCCAGGTATTGCCCCTTATTTTAGGAGGACAAGACTGTCACATCTGGAGGGTTGGATGAGTCCAGACTAGAAAATATCAGTAATGAACTGTCATAGACAGAGGCAGAACTAAGATGATATTTGAACTGAGGTGCTACAGAGATTTACAGGAGGTTATATACTGTAGGTATCTAATGGAATGATCAATCAGCAGGGTCTGAGGCTATGTATGAAGCATATGGATAGTTTATTGGTAAGTAGGAAAGGACCACTAATAATGAATTGGAAATGTACATTTCATGGTAGTCTTCTGCTGCTGGTTTTAGTGGAGAGTACCACTCAACATAAGCTAGAGGTTCTTTGGTCCAGACTGGATGGACAGAACCATATAGTTGTTGTGGCAGGCAAAACATTACTTTGAGACGTCCAATTCTAGTACCTATTAATATCAAATATTATAAAAACTTTGCTTATAGAGTGTGATACAACTAACCTTGTAAACCAGTACTTTCACAATTTGACCCATCCATTACCACTACTGTATCAAAGTGTCCTGCTTTGCCACCCATTAGAGGTTTTGCCTTGACTGTATCCGACTCCTCATAATCAAAGTCAACATCATTACCTAATGAGTCCAAACAGAATTTGAACCCATGGTAAATGTCTATATGACTGAGAGGAAGATCAATGTTTTAAAGTTGAGCTCTGGAATGAGGTTGATCTACTTGAGTATTGAGATAGAAGATAAGATCCTTCTTAAAGCCATTGCAAGAGTTGTCCAGCATAATATCGACGCCTTTGCTTCGGCGCCTACGAAAACACCAGACGGCACCGCAGCCTATTATTCCCATCTTGTCGCCCAGTACGGGAGGGGGTGCTCTTGTGTTGTATCGGCTGTTGCGGCCACTTTCCCCCACTCATCAAGTCGATGAACAAACAGAGTCGGTAGAGGAGGTTACCACGGCCGGTGCTGCGAGTCTTGAACGTGATGAAGACGCGATGGACATAGAGTAGAACGATGCGCCCACTCATTTGTTTGGTTTGGTTTCTTGGATGCAGGCTGATGTTGGGTTTCAGGTTTGTATGGCATTAGTCCCACCTGCTGGCTGCATTACTGTCATGGTTGTAGTTGAGTGTTGAGCAGAAGGAGTCTCTAGATTGAGTATCATCCTGTTATTGATTGGGTGTTGGGTTGGGGTGAGTGCCTTGGTGCCTGCCTAGTGGGATGATGTTTGGGTATGTGGATTTAGGGCATGCTAAATAGGTAGATCTGTAATTGATTAGTCTTGGTCTGTCTGGTCTGCTTGGTCTGGGAGGGAGTGGGCAGGGCCATTGGTCAGTGCATGTAGTATAGGGGGTGTTACCTTCAGAGTGAGGTTCAGGTGATTCTTCTGGTGCCTTGTTTACTTTCTCCTAGGTGGGTCTTCCATTGGGTAGAACCTGTATATTGATTCACTGTTGTGCTTCATGTGAGCTTTTCATTTGTCTTTGAATGTTGGGCACTTGCAACTCCAAGTAGCATGGCCCAGGTTGCCATGTGGCTGCCATCATAAGAGTGACACTTGAGGCATCTAGATGGTTTGGGTAGGAGTTTCATTACATGAGCTGTTCCCTCATTTGGGTTTCTTCTTACAATGGGCTTGATGTATCTTGCTTTCAGGATGCTCTTCGGTGCGATGCTGGCTTTCTTTTTAGGATCTGTGAGGGCTGCTGTTGAATCTGGGCAGAAAGCTATTGGTATATTTTCCATGAGGACATGGTATATTTGATTCTCGATTGTGATATTGGTGCTAAATCAATCTAGAAAGTTGCTGTGATTTGAAGGAGTGTTGAACCGTTCTGCCAATTCCTTAGGGTTTTATTCATATAGGATGCTGCCATGAGAGTTTTCTTGCTGACACAAAGGATAGGTCATTGGAGGTCAGGATGTTATTCTTGTTCATCATTTTGAGAGCCAATTTTGCCTTGGAGACCAGCTGCTCCTCAGTGAGTTGGGCTGTTGAATCTTTTGGCATCAGTAGTCATTACCTGTCTATAATGATTTGTCTGGGTTGACCCTCGGTGCATGAAAGAAGCTTTGTAAGTGGTCCTGGGATTGAAAACTTTTCTATGGCAGTGTAGGATCTGGGTCTTTCAGACCCATTCCATATGGCACCTATTTGCATGTGGTGGTCCATTGTAGTTGTTACATTTTTCGCAGCTTTGTCTATTCCCTCTAACAAGTTGTTTAGAGTCTGTTCAGACACCAAATTTTGCGCAACTAAGACCTAAATTTCAAAATCTCAGTTGCTTTGTCATTGTTGGATATCAGTGTGACATACATAACCATCAATAATCAATATTAAAGAGAATATGCCCGCTACTCGATCTTCTGCTCATTCTCATCGTTCTAAGGGTACTTGTGTGTGTCTCATGGCACCCAGGAAGAAAGCTGCCACAAGTTCAGATGGCCAGAGTCAGGAATCAGAACAGAGGTGTACCTGGATGTCAGCAGATGAAACACATCTAATTATCTATGTCAAGAACAACCATGCCAAGGGTGGTGATGGGCTGAATTTCAACAAGTCCTTTTGGGCTCAGGCTGCCATCAATATTGCTCAGTCAACAACTGTTGGTGCCCCGAAGACAGCTGATTCCTGTGTGACAAAGTGTCTCAGGTATGTCACTATCACATGCCTGATATTAGTACTGATAAGCCTCCAGCTCTGCTCCACATTTCATGTTGTTGATAGAGTCATGCATTATTCAGGTGTAGCATGGAGCCCAGACCGTGGCGCCAATGTTACAGCCAAATCAGCAGGACTTTGGGCTGATGTTATCAAGGTAAATATTGTCTCTACTCTTGTCCCCTGCACTCACACTGGTATAATCTAGAGTATCCTGGCTGCAAAGCCTTTTAAAAATAGAGGCTGGCCACCCTATGATTTGATGTGCGAGCTCCTGCCCTCGAAGGCAGTTGGTAGCAGCTCTTTCTACCATCTTCAATACAATAGTTTGTTGTAGTTGGGATTGAGAGTTGGAATCATAATCATCAAAGTGTTGTGTTGAGCATGATGAATGGCATGCTGTGCGAGATTAGCATATGGGTTTGATGGCTGATGAATCTTGCTAATCAGGTTCCCGATCATGCACTCCATGGTCCACTGTGAAGGACCCTTTTTTGCAACTTCATTAGCATAGTGTCTGAGAGCGTGAATGCTCTGCTGTATGAAGTGAATCCATTTAAGCCTGCGCTGGTGGTAGAATTCCTTGATGAATTCCACTAATAATCTAGCAGCAACTTGAAGCTCCTCACATGTGATGTTGTGCTGTGAAATTATGCGAACTGCATGGTCAAGTTTACAGAAGTGTTGCCAGTAGGGAAGTGGGAGGACATTGTAAAGTACCAAGGGGCCTATCCCATATAAGAGGAGGGTGAATTCCCATGGATGGCCTTTCCAAAATCTTTCCAGACATTTCTGGTAAGAACTGCCCACCACAGAGGGATCAAGAGGTCAGGAATGTTGAGGGAAATAAGGTGCATGATGTCCGACATCTGGATGGGCGCAAGTCCAGGGCTGTCAGCAGTTCCTAGTGCTAGCAAAGGATGGGAGATGAAAGTCATGTTGCACATCACATCCCATACAGTGAGTCCTGATCAAATACAACCCATATCAATATCCAACAGTCAGAGGCCTTGGATTTGTAAAGTTGCGCACCATCCTTGTCCTTGATCTTGCCTTCTGCAACAGCCTGAATATAGTCACTACCATCAATAAAATCATTCCAGGATTGTTGGTGTCTGTTCTTGTGTTTGCGCTCTGCAAAGATTTCATTAGTGCAATAATGCATCTTGTGGGCACTCTGTGGATCTCAATATAGCGCCTGTAGCTGGGGGCCAATGAGGACAGTGACAAATTGTTTGTGAGGGGTCTTGACTTTGCCAGTGGTTTGTGAGGGGTCTTCATCATCTGACATTGAGGAAAATCGCATGCCACATGCCATATGCTCTTCATCAAGATCATCAAGATCTATCTACACCTCACCATCTTGCTTTACCCATATTATATATTTCACCAAGTGGAGATGACACCAGGTATGACCTGCGATCACGATAGGTTTGTGGAGTGCGAATTCTTCGGTGATGAATTCACTATGAGGCATTGGTGTCTCCAGAGTTAAGAGAGTTTTTGAGGCAATGGAATCTTCTTCAGGAGACTCATATGCCTTCACCTCACGGACTATTGCTAAGATTGCCACAGCAACCTCAGGATGAGTCCTGATGGAATCTACAGCTCATTGCAATGCCCTTTCACTTTCATCAATGAGATAGATATATTGGGTGTAACCAATCCACCTTACACCTCCAACTATAAATTCAGGTTGATGTCTGAACAAATGATTTTATGATTGTAGGGAAGACATTGCAATGTAGAAGTGGATGAGTCTTTGAGTTTGGTCAAGGGTGCTTCATGAATGGCACTTGTGCATATTGACAAGGAGGATGCGCTTCTTACAGTCATAGGTCAACCTTGATTGCAATACATTGTATTCCCATGCCTCAACATCATGAAATTTCTGAAATATTTGGTAAGCATAAGACTCTGCCTTGACTTGGCTCAGAATACAATCACACACTAGACACTGCCAGTGTTTGAGGTCCCTTCAGCTATTTTCAGTATTCTTTGCTCATCTTCGAATGACCATCAGAATTAGTTAATTCTTCGATTCTTATACAACATATTTGAGGTAAGCTGATGACTGGAATGACACGGCAGGTTACTATCATCCATGTCAAATAAAGGATTTTCGAGAACCATAGCCACAGTAGATGCCTGTAGTAGATTGTTATTCTCAGTCTTATGTATGCCAGGTGGTAAGGATGTCAGAATCTTCAACCTGAAGATGTTTGTTGTGGGCTCAGTTCCATTGCCCAATGGTTTGAAAACCAGGGTGGCTGATTTCACCAACTAATGATTAGGCTGGCCATTTCCAGCCTTTGGCTTCCAAGTCATGGGCTGAGGTTTTCCCTGTGCAGTCAAGTTAGTTCTGGTTTCATGGTGTCTATGGGGGTATGGCAGACATTGCTGGTGTGAGTCATGGTCAGAGACATGACTGTTTAATGGTACTAGTGTGTGATGGAGTGTGAGTAAGGTAAAGAGTCAGTGTCCAAGAATGAGTTAACACAATATTGTAAGATGTTGGCCACTGGTCTCTAGAATCAGATAACCAACACTACTAGAATAGTGCAGTTTGATCCTTATGTGAGCCTGTGAGCAAATAGATCAAACTAGTGCTTACTGAGCAAGCAAACACATACATACACATGTTGCTGACACACATCCCTCTTGTCATCTTCCTTTGCATTTGCTTGTAGCATTTTGCTTATTAAAGAACTCTATACATATAGTCTTTATATCAGTTAGACACCACTCAAAATGACTAATTTTCAGACTTCTGGACTCCCTCAGGGAGTCAGGGGTAAAAATGCTTCAGCTCTGAACCAGGCATTTAGAGTTGTGGACATAGACCAGAACAGAATTGTGGAGCAATTGGATCATCTAGTCATCATGTAACACAGGCATCTCATAATGACATTATTGTTGAAAATGAGGCTCTGGTTGATTGTTGGGCGATGACAATGAGGATCTCCTGATCATTCCTGTGGATGATCAAGAGATCTACCTAACCCACACCCTGTCAATACAGACACCTTACTGATCAATGTAATCACCATGTCTTCCTCTTCTGCTCAACCTCAACCTCAGCCCATTTCTGATGCATCAGTGTGATGCTAGCATACACATTTGATGATGGGGAAGTAAAATTCTTCACATCCTTTGACAATGCTTTTGAAATACCAGGCATAATTATAGACCTGGTAAAGTCACACATTCACATTCCTCTCACTCTGTTGACACCATCTGTGTTTGAGAAGATTCACACTAACCCTTCTTGCTGTTAAGGTTGGATGCTCAAGGGGGTCGGATCACAAGGGCTTGGCCTCAGCTCATATGCTGTGCCCCTTTCCCAAGTATGTGCCCCTAATTTCTGGGGGCTAGAACAGTTGTCCGGAGTTTCCAGGATTTGACTAGGGCAGACAATGGATGTCCAGATCTGAAACGTGAGATAAATCCAACGGACATCCAGATGTTACCTGGGCAAGTGGATAAGACTAATCCAGATGAAGTCCAGACTAGAAACTAACAGAGGATAGACTACCTTAAGGTAGAGTCAGAAATGTAGTCTAGGATGCAATCCTAAAACTCAGAATATGACAAGAGACTTATCTCAAGTCCAGAGGACACAGGAATGAGCAGGAACTAAGATGATATTTGAACTGGAGTATTTCTGAGAGTTACAGGAGGTTTATATACTGTAGGTATCATATAGGAATCAGTCAGCAAACATAAAGGCTATGTATGAAGCATATGCAAAGTCTATTAGTAAGTAGGACGGATCACAAATAATGAACACCAGAAATGAAATGTATGTAATAGATCAATAATCAGAAGGGAAACATAGTTAGCCGGAGTCCGGAGACAGGGGAAGTCTAAATGGGGTTGGGCGCTGATATAGGGTTTGGATTCTGGAAGGAAGATAAAGATAGATCAGATCATTTGAGATCCAGATATCTGGAGAAGCGGATTTAGAGTTGAGAGTCCAGAATGGCATATGACACTTGCATTACAATGCACAAAGGAATGATCTTAGATGACCCAAATAAGCTGGTCTTGGATGTGTCTGGATTCCTAGCAGAAACCACACTCCAACTGGTGGATTGTTATGAAGCAACTGAAAACTTCATGTAACTTCTCGAGCATACAGCAGGTCTGGCCATCATAGAACATTTCAAACAGCACCAAAAATTCTGTCTCTCATGCAAACCATTGGTTAACAACTACGAGGCTATCCTCACCTTCAATATCAAGACCAGACATATGTTCTTTAACACTAAAGGTTTTCTCACTGAAGTGGCATATGAATGTTGCTGGAACAATACCATCATGAAGATATCACAGCAGAAAGCAGAGTTGCTATATCGCATGTTTAGGGAAGGAAGGATATTAGGGTCAATATATTCTGATGTAAGTGCAAGGTGCCATGTGTCAGCCTTAAGCCTCCTGTCCTTGAGAACAGTTCTGAGCTCTGTGATCTGTGCTTCCACATCCCAAGCATTGGTGGATGTGTTCTTTGCTCCCATTTGAGCAACCATTGGAGTTCTGCCAGTCATAACAGAGCTGCATGCCCTGTGCATTGACCAGCTGACCTTCTGCGTTCCAACAGCAGAAGGTGGGGCTCTTGCTGTCCTACAGGAACTCCCTTTTGCACTTGTGGACATTGTGAGCAAAGCCAAGACAGAGAGTGCAGGAAAAGTGGCCACTTGGTGCTGCACTGGACTGAATAGACAGTTTCTCATGGCTGGGGTGCTTATGGTCTTGGTGCAAACATTGACAGTTAGGGGAAGCAGGACAGGGAGGAAGGCATGCTGATGGATTGTGTGCTAGGGATCAAGAGCAGGAGCATCTATCACTATGCAATTATGTAGCCATGTCAACCTCCTCAGAAGATGCTTCAACCTTCACCTCAACATCTACCTCAACATCCATGTTATCAGAAGAATTGTATCCTGGGACAAGGTTGCTTGGATCACCTGGGTCCATAATTTCACCAGACATATCTGGATCCTCTGGATGAACAACTTGGTTGTACTCAAACAGGAGACCCTCAATAGCAGAGGTATTCTCGAATTTCAGGGGTGTGGGCACTATCCCTGCCACCGAGAGATCAATGAGAGGAGGGAGTGCAGATTTGGGGGGTGACATGGATGTGGGGATGGATTGATCAAGCAACAAGGATGTTGCATTAGCAGGAGGGTCAGGAATTGGGAATGAGGGGTACTGGTTGATAATTTCGCGCCTAAGGCCTTCATGGATGCATTGCAGGGTATCAATCTTACCATCCTGCTCTGCCACATGAGCCTCGAGAATAGTGATTTGAGCTGCACCATCCTGAATCACAATTGCCATGGCATGGAGATCTGGCATGGGTATGTTCAGTGCTGCAGCAGGGACTGCCCAACTCAAAGAAGGAAGTGCTATAAGGGAAAATTAAGGTCAGACAGTGATGAAAAAAAACTGGGGTGACTTACAAGCTGGTGCAGGTGCAGGTGCCTTGATAACAGTATGGTCTTGGTGTGACCATGCATCTGGGTCTTGGGGGTTGTCACAGCAGTGATACCCAGAGTTCTGGACAGGCCATGAGACTGACTGGTTTTAGGAGTTGGCTGGGAAGGCTTGATGACTGCCAGGTGACTGCTGGCAATCACCTGCTATATTGTAAACATACACCCAAGTCCCAGACACATAAATGTGACTTATAAGCTGTGGCAGCGCCAAAAGGTTTTTTCATCAGAACCCAGGGTGATTGAGGTGAATTGGAGAGCTGGGGAAGGACAACCTCCAGCACTCCACCTGAAAATGGCTATGAGAAAATGTGAGCCTTTGGCAGTTGGGAGGAGAGTGCTGAAATCATGGGAGACTTCCTCTTCCTACTTCCTTCCACCTCAGGCTCTGGGTCAGCAACAATGGCCTTACCTTTCCCCTTGTCTCAGTACTCAGTGGTGGTGTTGGTGGAAGGACTAGCAACATTGCCAGTGAGGACAGGTGGGAAGGGAAGGTCAACTGGAATCAGACCTGTGGAAGGAGGAGTAGCAACTGAGAGATCAAAGATATGGTCACCTAAGACCTCCCAGGTGAGGAGCTTGGTGTACCAGATGTGCTTCAAGAGATGGGGATTGTCATACCTAATGCTGTGCCAGTTGGGCCAGACCTAGAGAGTCATGCTCTGGATGCACATTAGCTCCTTGGAGCAAAAAAGCATGATGCTGGGCAGGGGGCCCAGCCCCATAGTCCTTGACTACATGAGCCTGCCTGGATGTTAGAGAAAAAAACAAAGAATGCTACATACCACAAGTGAACTGACCTGTGATGTCAGAGCAAAGTGGCTAGGACCTGGGGGAGTTTGCCAGGCACCACTGATGATGGCCATGATCTGGGCAGTGGATGCCTTGAGACTGGTCAAAGAGGTGTCAACTGGAGTAGACATGATGGTTGAGTTGAGAGATTTAAAGATCTTGAAATCAGGTTGAAATCAGTTGTCACAAGGATGAAGTTTCAAAAGAAACAAGACATTTGATGGATGATCTATATAATTGTTGATTGTTTGTCTTTGTTTGGTCATGGTTCAACTTCCGGCAATTGCTGGTTTTGTATTGAACTTTGAAGTTTTTTCAATTATCAGTCAACAAGTCAATCAGTTCCTCACACAATATAAACCCACAACCAACTGTTCGATTTAATGACCCTCTGGTTACTGACTACAATTCAATGGATGTGGATGAGTCCTCTGTGTCCTGGTTATCACTAGGTATGTTGTATTTTTATCATGTCTTATCTATTTACTAGATATTCCTTAGATGATCTATACCTTGGGCCAGATGATGACATAGAATATGATTCTGTGTCATCCGGATCACTCAATCATTTGTGGGTCCAACCTTGAAGTTGCCTTCCACCCCACTTGGCAGCAAAACCATGTGCCTCAGCTGCACACTCTGAGGCATCCAGAAATGTCCTTCCATTTGTTGCTACCAGCTTCAGGTGGCTTTGAATTGCTTGGGTACATCTTGCTTGGAGACCTCATGGACTACCAATAAACTGCATCTTCTTTGACTTTAGCAACTTGTCCATGTCCTCCAAGGCTTTATTCATCTCCTTGCTCCAATATTCCTGCTTGCACTCCTGTTGAACTCTCTGGGGCACATCTAATCTCTGCTGTTTGTGAGGAGGGACTCTTGGCAGCCAGCCATTACCAGTGGGCATCATTTCATTGTTGTCATTAGTATCTGGTGAGTTAATGTCAGAGTCCTCAATGTCTGAATCTGACTCAGAGTCACTGGATAGGTCTGAGATATACCCAAAAAATGTTTTGCTGCTTTCGGGAACCATGGTAAGTGTTATATCCTGTATGCCAGACATAGATCCTATCATATTCCCATGCTTTCCAGACCAATTTCCGGACCCTACCTCCAACTCATTCCCAGATCCCCTTCTGCTGTGTGCTGCATATCTAAGCAGGATTAGATCTGCTATGGAACTACCCCTGAGCTCCAGACCTCCGGATCTTTACTACTAGCCTGATCTGTACACCCCTATCCTGTCCACCCTATGCACATTCCATCCAGCAAGACATCCAGACTTTACCTCCTCTCAGATTCTGGACTACATCTCCCTGTTAAGAACCATGTTGCTCAAGGGGGAGAGAGACTGACTCAGAGGGGCTTGGCCTCAGCTCATACGCTGTGCCTCTTACCCGAGTATGTGCCCTTCATTTTGTATGAGGTCTGATGATTGTCCGACAAAGTCCAGAGGGCTTCCGGAGGCTGGCTACTCTGCTGGAGAGCACTAGAGGACTTCCAGAGGAGCACAGGAAATGTCTGGAGGAGCGCAGGAGAGTTCTGGTGGAACACAGGAAGTGCTTAGGAGAGTTCCCACTGCAAGGTAATACTTCTACAGGAAACAGGATGGAAGGATAGGAGGTCCAAAGGTCCAGAGGACAGGAGGACAGGAGAACAGGAGGGCAGGATGTCGGAGGACAGAAAAACAGGATGTCCAGAGGTATGAAGGACAGGATGTCTGAAGGTACAGAGGGCAGGATGTCCAAAGGTACAGAAGGATAGGATGTCTGAGGGTTAGGAGGATGGAATGTCTGAAGGTACGGAGGGCGGAACATCCAAAGGACAGGACATCCAGAGGTCCGGAAGGAATAGGGGCTACATCGGACTTTGTCTGATGTAGAAACAAGCAGAGGTAGACTACCCTAAGGTAGAGTCGGAGAGACAGGGATTAGATCTAAGTCCAGAAAGAGGGTAAGTGCTGGAAAGGTGGAGCTCCGGCCTAGGGAATCAATCCCTAGGCCTGATGGGTGGGACAGGCTTAGGTGGACCAAAGTCCAAGAGAGGATTGGGCAAGTCTAAGTTGATATTCAAACAAAGGAAACTACAGGAGTATCTACAGGGGTTATATACTGAACAATATCTGAGGGGATCAGTAAGCAAAGGAGCAAGGCTATGTATGAGCATGTGGAAACACATTAGTAAGTAAGACAGAACATAACTAAATGAACTCGGAGATGAAGACTTGTACAAGGATTGATAAGCAAGATGGAAGAAGTAACCAAAAGCCAGAAAGGCAGAGATGCCTAAATGGGGATAGGTGCAGGATGTCGGACAAAGGGTGGGAATAGGTCTGGAGATCTGGGGATCTGGAAGACAAGGTGGATACAGAACTGGAATATGAGAAGGTGGATATAGTCCAGAATCCGAGATGAGGTGAAGTCCGGATGTCTTGTTGGATGGAGTGTGCATAGGGTGGACAGGATAGGGTTGTATGGATCAGGCTAGCAGTGAGGATCTGATGGTCCAGAGCTCAGGGGTAAATCTGGAGTGTAGTTGATCCTGCTGAGGTGTGGAGTACACAGTGGAAGGGGATCTGGGAATGAGTTAGATATGAAGTGTGGTCCAGATGTAGGCTCAGAAGGCGTGGGAATACTATGGAATGTGAGTCCGGATTGTGGGATATGACACTCCCACCTCACATATCTCAGTCCTGTTTCTGTCCTGCCTTCTCGATCCCCAGATCTCCAGACCTCTGGATATTAACTGTACTACCTCCAGACCATTCCCACCCTCCATCCAAGATCCTGCGCCTATCCCCATTTAGGCATCTCTGCCTTTCCAGTTCTTGGTTGTCTCTGTTTCCATCTTGCTAATTAATCCTTGTACTAGTTTCATCTCTGAGTTCATTTACTTATGTTCCGTCTTACTTACCAATGTGTTTCCACATGCTCATACATAGCCTTACTCTGTTGCCTACTGATCCTCTCAGATATCCTCTAGTATATAACCCCTGTACAACTCCTGTAGAGTCCTCAGTCTGAATATCATCTTAGATCCTGTTCTACTTGCCAATCATCTTCTGGACTTCAGTCTGTCTGAGTCTCGTCCTTTTCCATAAGGCCTAGGGAAGGATTCCCTAGGCTGGAATTCTGGACCTTCAGATTTGTCCCCTATGTCTCTGTCCCAAGTCTAGGGATTGCTTCCCTAGGCTGGAGTCTTGCCTTTCTGGCACTTACCCTCTCTCCAGACCTTGGTCCACTGCCTGTCTCTCTGACTCTACCTTAGGGTAGTCTACCTCTGTTTGCTTCTACATTGGACTTCATCTGATGTAGCCCCTATTCCTTCCAGACCTCCTGTCTTTTGTACCTTTGGACCTCCTGTCCCTTGTACCTCTGGGCATCCTGTCCTTTGGACATCCCATCCTCCTAACCCTTAGACATCCTGTCCTCCATACCTTCATGTCCTGTCCTGTGTACCTCTGGACATCTTGTCCTCTGGACCTCCTATCCTTCCATCCTGTTTCCTGTAGCAGTATTACCTTGCAGTGGGAACTCTCCTGAGCACTTCCTGCATTCCTCCAGAACTCTCCCACACTCCTCTGGAAGTCCTCTAGCACCCTCCACCAGGGTAGCCAGCCTCTGGAAGTCCTTCAGACTTTGATGGACCATCATTGGACTTCCTCTGAAATGAAGGGCACAGTGTATGAGCTGATGCCAAGCCCCTCTGAGTCAGTCTCTCTCTCCCTTGAGCATGGTTTTTAACAAGGACACTCTCCTTGCCTTGTCTTACGACCCTTGCATTTGCAAGGTCTTGAACTGACTCTAGCTGATGTTTTTATTGAACTACTATTGTTGTGACTATCCTAGTTCATAACATACAAGGGTTATATACTAGAGAATATCTGAGGGGATCAGTAAGCAAAGGAGCAGGGCTATGTACAAGCATGTGGAAACACATTAGTAAGTAAGATGAAACATAAGTAAATGAACTTGAAGATGAAGATTCATACAAGGATCAATAAGCAAGACAGAACCATGTCCTCACTAAGTCTACTGATGCATTTTGATTATGTTCTTATTACTCTGACATATCTTCCAGACCAACTACAGTGCTGTAAGTGCATATGTGCACACTTAAGCACCATTACATACAGATATTGCTACCTACTCACTTTACTTCTGTGCTACAAGCATCGTCTAGTGCTTGATATAGAGCAGGGGCTTATAGTTTTTTAGAGTATCTTATCCTAGCATTCCCCACCTCTGTGTAGTAGCAATAGTTTGCACTCTAGAGCAAGTTTAAAGCCTCAGAAGTCCAAATTCATGCATGCCTGTCTAAATGCCACTGCCTTACATCAATTTGACCTTCTCTTCACTGGATTGAGCCTCTAGGTAGCCCTTTGTCTCTACATTCAGACCCCCATCACACACACCACATATCCTTGCACATGCTCTTGCATTCTACTGTCCCAGCATGCTTTTGGGTGCATTTCAACCATGCTTCTTCTAGCATTCACACTTCATGCATCCTCTAGCATCCACTCAGTTTCAGAGTCTCTCTCTCATAAGCTATCCTTTGGGTCAAGTTCTGTCTCACATCCAGGTCTTGCTATAGAGTTCCCTTAGTAGTAGTCAGTTTCTCTCATAGCCCTTAGTCCTCACCTTCACTGATGTAGAAACAAACAGAGGTGGACTACACTTAAGTAGAGTGTCATGCCATTCTGGACTCTCAACTCAAAATCTGCTTCTCCAGATATCCAGATCCAGATCTCTAATGATCTGATCTATCTTTATCTCCCTTCTGGTGTTAAGGTTGCGTGCTCAAGGGGGTCAGATCACAAGGGCTTGGCCTCAGCTTGTATGCTGTGCCCCTTTCCCGAGTATGTGCCCTTAATTTCCGGGGGCTAGAACAGTTGTCCGGAGTTTCCGGGATTTGACTAGGGCGGATAACAGATGTCCAGATCTGAAATGTGAGATAAATCTGACGGATGTCCGGATATTACCTGGGCAAGCGGATAAGACTAATCTGGACGAAGTCCGGACTAGAAACTAACAGAGGATGGACTACCCTTAAGGTAGAGTTGGAAATATAGTCTAGGATGCAATCCTAAGACTCAGAATATGACAAGAGACTTATCTCAAGTCCGGAGGACACAGGAATGAGCAGGAACTAAGATGATATTTGAACTGGAGTATTTCTGAGAGTTACAGGAGGTTTATATACTGTAGGTATCATATAGGAATCAGTCAGCAAACATAAAGGCTATGTATGAAGCATATGCAGAGTCTATTAGTAAGTAGGACAGATCACAAATAATGAACACCGGAAATGAAATGTATGTAACGGATCAATAATCAAAAGGAAAACATGGTTAACCAGAGTCCAGAGACAGGGGCAGTCTAAATGGAGTTGGGCACTGATATAGGGTTTGGATTCCAGAAGGGAGATAAAGATAGATCAGATCATTTGAGATCCAGATCTCGGATCTGGATATCCAGAGAAGTGGATTTAGAGTTGAGAGTCTGGAATGGAATATGACATCTGGAATCCAAACCCTATATCAGTGCCCAACCCCATTTAGACTTCCCCTGTCTCTGGACTCTGGTTAACTATGTTTCCCTTCTGATTATTGATCCATTACATACATTTCATTTCCAATATGCATTATTGGTGATCCGTCCTACTTACTAATAGACTTTGCATATGCTTCATACATAGCCTTTGTGTTTGCTGACTGATTCCTATATGATACCTACAGTATATAAACCTCCTGTAACTCTTAGAAATACTTCAGTTTGAATATCATCTTAGTTCCTGCTCATTCCTGTGTCCTTTGGACTCGAGTTAGTTCTCTTGTCATCATCCAAGTCTTAGGATTGTATCCTAGACTGTTAAGGTCATGTGCTCAAGGGGGTCAGATCACAAGGGCTTGGCCTCAGCTCATATGCTGTGCCCCTTTCCTGAGTATGTGCCCTTAATTTCTGGGGGCTAGAACAGTCATCCAGAGTTTCCAGGATTTGACTAGGGTGGACAATGGACATCTGGATCTGA